AAATTTCACGATACAAACGAAACACATTGTGTGCCATCCGTTCAATCCTTGCTAATCGTTCGATGTTTGGCTCCATTGCTTCGAAATTTATAAGAAGTTTATTTAGTAAAGATAAACCTTCTGATGAACCCTTAGTGGTGAACTTTCTTTCTGGCTCATCCTCTTCTTTCTTGGCTTCTCTTCTTTCTTCTTCCGCCACTCTTTCTTCTTCTAGTTCGATTAACACTTCATTTGTAAGTTTTCCGGATTCTCTGACTAGCAACTCTTTGCCATCTTCAATTTCACACTCCAAAGAAAGGTCTTTGCCGAGTTTTACTATTTTTTCCCGAATTGTTTCAAGTTCATGTTCACTCTCAAATCCAAGAAAATCATGAACATAGCGCTTCACACAATTTTTCCAGATGCCATTCATGCACTTTGTCGTCACAGCCTCTCAGGCGGTAGCGATATTCTTGCTACACATTAAAATGTTGCAGTGTTTCCAAAAATCTCGCAATGTTAGTTCTGAGTCAACATCTATTGCGGATATTGCTTAAACAAAGGTGGTTCGGAGATAGTTGACCTTTACGGTAGCAATCAAACCTTGGTCCAAGGCTGGATGAGTGGAGTCGTGTTTAGCGGAAGAAAAACAAATTTTACATCTGGATGGAGATCGCCCAGATGTGGTGAGTGTCCAGGCCCGTTATCGGGTAGCAATAAAATCTTGAACGGAATATCTTTCTCCAAACAATATTCTCAAACTTGAGGAATAAAACAGTTCATAAACCAGTCTTCAAACAATGCTTGCGACATCCATGCTTTACATTGAGAATGAAAGTAGATGGGAAGTGTGTGCTTGTTAACATTCTTGAACGCACGTGGGTTGCTTGAGTGATAAATTAAGAAAGGCTTTAGCTTAAATCCTGTGATGTTCCCGCCAAGCAGCAGAGTAAGCCTATCCGTAAATACTTTAAATCCTGGCATGCTTTTGGCCTCTTTGTGAATATAAGGGCGTGCTGGCATCCGTTTCCAAAATAATCCAGCTTCATCAACATTGAAAATCTGTTCTGCTAGATATCCCTCAATTAATTCATCCAGACTATCTACAAACTTAAGTGCTCCTTCCTCATCCGCACTCACTGCTTATCCAGTCACTCGAACACTATGCATTTTGAATCTTTTCTTGAATCTCTGGAACCAGCTAGTGCTTGCTACAAACTCTTGACTGTAATCTTCTCCAACATGCTCCCAAAGAAGTATATAAAATTATAATCTCCCCGAAAATGGTTGTGGAATGGGAAGTCATGCAAAAGGAAAAGATCGCAGCTTGTGCCAAACTGTAATTTCAGTTTGCGCTTTGCACTTTGCACCCATCCACATATTTTCAACATTTTGTGTGTGGACACCAGCGTCATTTGGATCAACAAAATCTTGTTGATGGACCACAGAGGAGTTTTTGTATAGTATATTTCCTGCCTGATGTGGTTTATGTTGGCCACAATGCTGCTGTACAATACAATCAGTGAGCTTGGAAGTGGAAGGATATATCTTTCTATAGCCTACACCCCTTGCAAAGTGACCAAACATCTGTCTGGCACATCGATAAGAAAACAGTGTCCACTCTCTCTTTCTATGTCGCTGAAAACCTAGTGTCCACATCAATACAAAAATAACTGTTTTAATAGAACTTCAAACCGGAACAAAAGAATTTTTTCATAACCACTGCTCAAGTTGTAGATTACCAAAAACATTTCCATTAATTTGTATCAATAAAACTAAATAATTTTATCTAATAAATGAAACAATAAACGTTTAAATAGCACTTCAAACTGGAACAACATAACATTATTGTCGTAACCTACGCTCAAAATAATAAAAATAAATAAAAATGATCTATAATACTTACTAATACTAATAAAATAGCATAACCAGACAAGATGACACTGCGGTGTATAGGACAATCGCCAACAGGAACAGCTACAACAGGATCTCAATCGGTTAGCTGAGAGGGAGATGAGCTGGGAAATGGAATTTTTTCCTACCAAGTGCCAGACACTGTCAGTCTCTAGATGTTGTACTCTTCTACACTACCAATACAAACTGCATGGCCATATATTTGAGCCAATTTCCTCCGTCAAGTACCTGGGTGTTACCATTCAAAGAGAGGTCCGCTGGGACGAGCATATTAACAATGTGTGCAACCAGGCAAACAAGACCCTGGGGTTCTTAAGGCATAATCAAAAGATTGGCAACTCCAGTGTGAAAGAAAGAGCCTATAAAGCCTTTGTCCATCCGCTTTTAGATTATGCATCTTCAGTCTGGGACCCATTTACCCACACGAGCATCGACAGGTTGGAGGTGGACCAGTGACGGGCAGCACGCTTTTTCCAGAACCGCTACAGGAATACCTCTAGTGTTGGCAGCATGCTGGAAACTTTAGGCTGGTCACCATTGGATGAACGTCACGACTATCCATGCTCTCCATGATGTACAAGATAAATAATGGGCTGGTCCACTGCTCCAGCATTAAACAGAAACTCTCTCCCATAGACAGCGATGAGGCCTTGACAGGCAATGCCGGCTCATACCAGCGAGAAGCCAGTATAGACAGTATAGTATAGGAACAGCTCATTCCTATTCCTGCCAAAGACAATCAGGAACTGGAACAAGCTTTCAAAAGGAACAGTTGAGGCGACAACCCTGGACACATTTGCGTCTACTGCCTTAGGCAGGCCTTCCAACGCCCAGTGCATGATACCTTACCAAAGTAGCCCTTGCAACCAGGGAAATATCCTATAAGTATGAGACCTATGCTATGTCTATGTCCTTATCAACACCAGGCACAGAAATCCCTTCTACATGCATAGGAGCCAAAATGATCAATAAATTGATCGTGGGCCCAAATATATAGACTAGACTATTAGAAGATTGTTTACATTATCATTTTATTTATTTAGCCATTTTTTTATAGCGCTTACCTTACAGCTCTGAGCGCTTTACATTCAGGTTTGGTAGTTCTGAAATTGCTGTATTTACTCAAGATAAATTGAAAAAAAAATTAAAAAATTATACACTCTGACCCCTTTGATCACAAAATCAACTACTTACTACTAATAACAATAACAATTATAGTAACTTCCCCTATGAAATGGAAATATAATAAATTCGCATATTTAATTAACATATTACTAATTGAATACCGGTACACAGGTCTTGTTACACTAGGGCAGTGGTTCTTAACCTTTTTGGAGATACTGAACCCCACCAGTTGCATATGCGCATTCACCAAACCCTTCTTAATAGGAAAAATAAAATATGATTTTTTTTCCTGATTTTTTTGGATCTCCGCCGAACCCCTGATCGAACCCAGGTTAATGGCATCGATGCACTGACATAGGAAGTGGGCAGAGGGGGTGGTCCTTTTTTCTTTTTATAAAAGGGTGGCATTTTCAGATTACTGCAGGGTTTTTATCGTGGAAGTGGGCGGCAAAATTTTTGACCCTCAGGTAATGGGGCGTCCATTAATTACGTCAAGCAATTTTGTACCCCCTCCCCCACCCCCTTTTTTAACAACTGTCAAACTTTCAATGGTCCCCCCCCCCCTAAGTAATTATGCCAACATTTGTATACCCCCCTCCAAAAAAATGAATTATAATATAAATAAATATATAAATTACTTTGTGCTGATCTATTTTAATAACACAAAATTGTAGGAAAAACTTTTTATTGCATCTTTACCTTGTTATTCAACAAGTTAAGAAGTTTTTATACTTAACAATTATAATGCAGAATCAATGAAAAGGCTGTTAAAGACAACATATAATTGTTTGTGGAAGCATAAATATGATTATTGCCAGTATAGCTGACAATTATAGTATAGTTTCTATCTGCTATCATCTTCCCGTGGAGTAACCAGGTGTTGCTCTATCGTTAATTTGGGAATCAGTGACATAATTTTGGTGGGGCAGGGGGCATTTGCTCCCCCCCCCTTGAATTTTCAGGTTTTATTTAAATTACTATTACTATGTAGGCTAATCTGGCGCCTCCAGTAATAAACAACTTAACAAACCAACCAAGTTTTGGTTTTTGCCCCCCCCCCCTTTTCCCGAAAAAACCCTGAAATGACATCCCTGATGGTCATAGTCTATAGTAGCTGATTTATCATTTTCATCTTGCGGAACTGATATGACAGACAAGTCAACATCCTCCTCATCTAACCATTCAGTTCTTAAAATATAAGCATTGTTGGTGTAAACAGAGCCGTTCTTAGGAGTTTGGGGGCCCTAAGGATGGGGCGTAGGTTGGGGGCCCCGGAAGGGGGGGGGGTCCGGGGATGGAGCTCCCTCGAGCTGAGGAGAAAACACCACCCACCACTGCAGACGGCTGCAGTGCCAGTTTAAAAAAAAAAACCGGGGGATCGAGGGCGCCTCACGGCATGTGCTTAGGGCGGCATCAACGATCGTCCAAAATAGGAAAAAACATTGCATGTGGGCGCCATAGAAGAAAATAGAAAGTGCAATTTTAAAAAAAAGAATATGTTGATACAAGTTAACAAAAACAATTTTACTGTTCACTGTTTGTTTAAAAAAAACAAAACATATGCAACAAACTCATTACCGAATAACTAGTTTTTCCGTTTAAGATTATACTTAAAAGGGGCCCAAAGTTAAGCATGCTCAAGCAAACGTCGGGCCGGCCCTGAACAGAATCTACAGGTGAAGAGAGGCCATCTTATGAGAGGCACTAACAAAGTTTGCTAACATTCTGACCTGCCATCTGCAGTGCACAGACAGACGTACATTGTACATCAAATAAATCTTATATTGTTAAAAGCCTAAAAATTATATGACTATTTACACTCATTATTTTTTTTAAATAATTTAATAACCAGTCAATTTTTAAGATTAAAATTTTAATTGAGAAAACATGATTGTTCACGTCAACTAATCTATACCCCCCATTTCCAACCTTATTTTGTTGACATAATTAATGGACGCCCTCCCACACCAATTTGTGAACGTAAAATTATAAAGTAATCTAGGAAGTAAAATTGCGAATCTACCGACCTTCTTGGAGAAAAAGTTGGATTTTCATATCTACAAATTCCTGAAACTAAACAGCTCTGCTGAAATTTTACCTACAAAGTTGCTAAAAGCATGACTAAAACTAGTACTGAACTTTGACATTGACGTTGGTACGTGCAATGTTATAGCGGTATAGCTTCCATAAAGTTTATAAAAGACCTTAAAATATATAATATATTGATTTACTGTTTAAAAATGTGCATTGTCACTCATTCATATTATATTCATTGTGATTGTGTTTGCTATGGCTATAATAGGCTATAGTATAGTATAGCCACTGAAAAATATTAATACGTCAATTTAATACTATAATAACTATTCCGACCTGGGTATCATCAGAAGTGAGAGGTTGGGAGTGATGAATAGCTTCTAAGGAGCTATTTGTAGTAAACTACCAATAGTTTCTAGATAGCTAGCCTATACTATACTATTGGGAGCATGTAGGTGGCTATACTATTGGTAACTTTCCTATCAAAAACTACTAAGGGGGCGTCCATTAATTATGTACAAAAAATAGGGGAAGGGGGGATATAAAATGTTGACATAATTAAATAGGAGGTGGGGGCCATTGAAAGTTTGACAAGTTTTGTCAGTGAGGGGTTGGGGGGGGGGGTAAAAAAAAACTTAATTGGGGATAGATTGATGTAGTGCGGTACTGAATAAGAGTAAGAATTGGTTGATTAAATAATTTTATTGTTGGGTTTGTATAAACAAATTTTGGTATCAAATGAAAGGTAATTGAATGGACTATATGTTTCTAAACTTACTTCTTCAGTTTAACTAAAATAAACTACCACACATGACATGCGAATAGCATTTAGTCTAAAGCATCTATTCAGTATGCAAGTATTCAGTAAAATAAGTATAGTGGCCTGCTATTTCAGAGAGGCATCAATAAATAATGGTACACATAAAAGTTTGTAATTAGGCCATGGGGAAGGGTTGCAACTATGTAGGTAGGTTTTTGTAGGTCATAGTGCCCATAGGCTTCTCTAAAAGGTTCCTCTTCAATAAATTTGCATTTCAACTTGGTGCAATACTCCCGGTACCTGGGTTTAAAGCTGATAGTGTATTTTAGATAAGGAAATAGCACATACTGATACTGTTAGTTGTTAGTACCGGCACTTTAAAATAATGATAGATTTTGAGTTCACAAAAATATGTGTCACCACAGACTGGCAGTACTGGTAATTTAAAATAAAGATAGTTTTTGAATTCACAAAAATTTATGTTGCAGAAGAATAATAAAAACAGGTTTTATTCTGAAACAAGGTCAATATAGTTTTTACAGACTAATATCAGGTATTTAACTACTCAATTTTTTTCTTTTATTTTCAGAAAAAGTATTATAGAAGATGTCACTAGAGCTTATAGATCTCGAGCATGGCAGACGAGTTTTAGGTCCAGGAGACAGAGGTTTTTTAATAAGCTTGGCTAAGTTGCGATGGAACCGGAATTCGGCCCAAGAGATAATCAAATTACTGAAGAGCTATGCACAACCATTTTATGAAGAAAAGGTTTGAAAATAAATCTGTGACAGTAAAATTTTTAAACTGTGTATTGGCTGAAAAGATATCTTTCATTAAAAAAATTATCAAGTGCAGCAAAAAACAATGCTATCATTTACTTAACTGCCTTTTTTCTGTTGTCTTAAAATTTGGCCAGATAAGGCTCCAGTCACAGCACATTCATGTTAGCCTCATGGCTTGAATAAGAATAACAGATTGTTGTTGTTGCAGGAAACCCAGTTCCTTTAAATATTATAGATAATTGGATAGGAAAATTAAACTTTTGCAGTTAGAGAAAAATGTGTCAAGTTTCATACTTGAACTTTAAGCAACCATCTCAATATTTGAAATATCAGTACTCAGAATGAACAATGTTCTGGTACATTCTAAATGTGAATACATCGTCAGTGGCCCCACTAAACAAATTAATTAGTCAGAGTTAACCATTTTTACCTTTCAAGTTATCAAAAATTAAAAGAAAATAAAAATAAAATGATAAAGTTTTTTTATGAAGATGACAGCCTTTAGATAACTATTGAACTAACTAAGAGTGGCAACAACAGTGTTTTCTTTGTAATGCTACTCAAACCAAGCATATGTTTTGAGTTTAGTGTTATGCATGTTTTTTTTAAAGGTCAATTTGTTCAGGTTTTCATGTTTTTAAAATTTTGTTTTTAATTAATTTTAGCTCAAAACAATTAATATATTTGTTGTAAATATATTTGTTTCCAAAACAGTGAAAATATAATATGGTTCCAGTTTTTGTTGTTAATAATGTTAGTGTACAACTTTCTTTAGGGGGATTCTAGTGAGTTTTTTAAATGTACATGAAGCAAGTAATTCATAAAAAATATTTGCATTTCAGTTTCCAGAATGCAAAGTTTCAATAAAAGAGGAAGCTGGAGAGAGTGCTGATACATCATCACAAAAACCTAAGGGCAGAGAACAAGGCAATAATATAAATATACAGTTTGTGCAAAGAGAGCTCATTTACAATAATTGTGGATTTATAGCATGCAACCTTGCAGACCCTGCAGAGTTTGCTCACTATGTCCTCAGTAAGCTATCCGAGTTAAAGTCAGAGTCAAAAATAAAATTTCCATTTAGAATCATGCCAGTTGAAGAAGTATGTGAAGCAAAACCCAAAGCAGTTGAAAAGGCAGTGCTTCCCCTGATTGAAAAAACTCTTGGAGTCGGTAATCAGCCACTGAGGTTTTCTCTCATGTACCGTGGGAATAACGAGGTTGAATCTTTAACACAGCAGGAGGCCATAGCTATCGTGCGCAACTGTGTATGGGCTGTTAATCCCAACTGTGTTCAGTGTATCAAGTATCAGGACTATGCTGTTGTAATGCACATGCTGTCTCCTCTATTTCTGATTGGAATATGTAAAGACTTTCAGCGTCTTGCTTGTTACAATACATGGACTATTAAACAAGGACTTGATCTTACTGATCTGGGCGAGGACAGTGAAGATGACATTAGTGACAACCCTGACCTAGATGAAGATGAAGAGAAAAAAAGAAAGCTGCGTATCAAGCGGAAGCGCCGAGCTGAGAAAGCCGGCTTGTTGCAGACAGAAGATGAAATGAAAAAGAGTCCTGAAATGATGGAAGCAGATGATGAAGTTCAAGATGGACCATTAGAGATGGAAGATAGAAATATTAGTAGTAACAGTGGGGATGATGAGTATTGCGATGAATCTGTAGAGGATACCAATTTACAATAATGCCAGTTTTATTTATCATTGTGGGGGAAATTAAAAATTCATCATTGACCAGTATATGTGGATAGTTTTAATAATATTTTTATTTAGTGATATCAATTTATACCGTTTTGTAATTAACATTGATATACCTTTGTTTCAAATCATCAATGGCAAACTGAAATTTGTTAAGTGTTAAATTGACCTGTTTGGTATGCCAAAATGAAGTTCTATTACTGTCAACAGGTTACATCAAGACAGACAAATATGTTAAAAATTTTACCATTGAGTTGAAGATTTTTTTGAGTTATTACAAGTTACTCATAAGTTACTCAAATGATTCATGAAATTCCATTTTTTGAAATAATAATTTTTAGATACACCTACCTGTTTTGGCACCCTTTTTCGTGTGTGTTTGTTATTGAGATTCATTAAATTGTTTTCCGTTTAAATGTTCACACCCAATAAATTTATACTAAATGATAAAACCATATGTAGCATTTTAAATGTAACAAACACCGTACTCGTAAACAAAGAGAGATGTTACGTGACATCTTTTGCCACTCACTAAGTCTAAGTTTACACAATTTGAAATTTTAAAAATTTGCTAATAGGTTTCTGTCTATGTAAATAAAGCCATTTTTATCTTCTTTATAATATAATATAATTCATCTCACATCAAAACTTTCTAACAGTGTAGTAAATTGAAACGATGATTTTTTTAGAGTTCAATTTGTAATTATCTTTAGTTCAAAGACATTGACACATAATTATTGATTACATTCAAGGGCACACAAAATTATGAGAAAATTTTTTTATGAAGCTGTTTTCATAAATGATGGACACAGAAGCAGAAGTGCTTACAAAAGCTTACACACATAATGACTACATTTAAACAACAAGAGTCATTGCAAAATGATTCAAATGTTTTTAAAATATTGCACTAAGTCTTAGTGATCTACACCGCTCTCAGGCTGTGAAAATCTTGTCCACCCATGGCAAATTTTACTTTTATAAAGATGAAGTTTCTGTTACGGAATATCAGTTTTCTATAATTGATTGATAACTTTATCAGTTCGTATTACCGGGTACTAGAAAATATTAAGTCTCAAAATCATTTAAAAGTGAACAATTCTCTAGGACCATAAGGCACCAACAAACTCAAACGGTGCAAAAAAATCCAGAAATTTTTTTTTAACACTTTTGTTAAACTAATTTTAAAATTAAAACATTATAAAATATGTTTAATGCATTGACCTTTTCTTATTAAAACTATAAATGAATGTCAAAAATCCAGACAATCCACCACAATAAACTTTTTTATTGAGTTTTTAAAAGATTTGCAATTGAGACTATTTATTAATAGCATTACTACAAATGGTAGAGACAATACTTAAATTCATCTAAAACAATTTCAACTTCTGCATGACTCTGCCTAAGGCACAGGCAAGGCATTGACATGTTTTCATTCATGAGTTATTATTACATATAAGTCACAGTAGGATAAATCCTTAAATTTTCACAATGCACAGTGGTTATTGAGAATTGCCCCTAAAAAATGTTCACTTCATAATTTTGTTAATGTTTATACGTCCCTTGTGCATTTAAAATAACGACTCTTTTATAATGTTATCTGACTGACCACAGACCTAATTATAAATGATCTATTAATATTTCAGTGACACTTTCATATAAACCATTTTATGTCACATGCTAGTCCTAGAAAAGAATTTCTTGTGAAACAAAAATTTATTCTCTCTTGCAAAGTCAAGTAAGCTTTTCCCTTGACTATTTTTTTTTATATTATCTTAAACCTGCTAAATTTCTTTTCCAATCCAAAAACTGTGTCAAATTTATCCTCTGCAAAATGAGGTAACTCCTTTTTGAGAATGCATGCATTTAATGATTTAAAAAGGGCATTTATGAACTGTAGGTCTGATATGATTTCATTTTTCTTGTGACCAGGTACAGCACACATAAGACTATGAGTAGCCAAGTTGCATAAGAGAGTTAACCAAAATTGAATTATTTTTTTTTTTAGCTGTTAATACTGTTATAGTTTTCATTTTTCATCAATGTTTTACTTAAGAATTAAAATAATAAGAATAAGAGTCTGCTTTTAGAACTAAATTCATTTCATTGACACCTAAACCAAAGAAGCAAAAGATGATTTGATAAGAGTCTCAAGAATTTTCAGGCCATTTGTTTATAATATGTTTATAACTAGACAACATCACATTAAATAGTTATAAGAATTATACTAAACACTTTTATACATTTAATTTAATCAAACATTTGAATAAATTATGAACATTAAACCTGTTTTTATAGATACTGAAAGCCATGAAATTTACATTATGGGTTTACCATTACTTCACTTGATAACAATGATTAGGAATAATTGTCATATTGCTGAATTTTGCTGAACTATGTGTATGGCAAATAATTGCAAAAATATATCGACATAAATGTGTACCAGATCGAAGACAAATAATAATACAATGTTCTTTAACTGAATTTAGTAAAGAAAGCTGAAAATGTGGAGATTTGTTTATTACATGTGTCAAATTACTATGTGCCGGTACCGGTAGATTTTACTATTGAATATTTTTTGTCGTTTTCTTCAGAAATAATCTTAATTTGACAAAATCATATTTACCACAGGTCTTTGACATTAATCCAGCCCTGCATGCCTTTAATCAGTAGCTGTCTAAAGAGTTCACTATTTTTCTATGGTAAGAGTTATAGGTTCACAATATTCACATGAAAAGCAGATAAATCTCAAACATCACATTGACTTTTATAATAGAGAGGATGCCCAGTTGGAATTTTTTTTTTTTAATTGAGGATGTTTCAAGATAGTGTCTTATAAAAGACATTTGGCACATCCACTTAGATCTTGCTTATGTGTAATATCAAGGGTCATATGGTTTGAAACACTATTTTAACAATATCAAGTAATTTTATACACATACAAGAATCAGTTTATGATGTTGCCAGATCAGGTCATATAAATATGACACTTGTCAATTGAACAGATCATCAAAACACCTACCATTAAAGAATAATACAAACAAAGAGTGAATTTAGATAATTTATAACAAACATAAGACAATGATTAAATAAGTTAAATAAACCTTCCACTGCATCAAAAACATTAAAATTAGCAGCCTATGATTTACAATGAATAAAAATTACTTTAAAATTTACAGAAAATGAGATTCCCCATGAAAAGTGTAAGCATCAAGAGCTTTCTGTTACATCTTTAGCTAAATAAGTTATAAAATTTACTTTAAGAAAAATAAATTCCATTTGAAAACAGTTATATATAAAACACCATATATATTGAACAGAGAATTTTAATTTCAGCTACTACCCTTATAAATGCTGTGGGGCATCCATTTATTACACAGAGACACTATTTCAAATTTCATAGAGATACACCCCAACCAATTGCATATTTCTATTTTTTTCTTAAAACCAAACTTATACTTTCAAGGCAACCCTGGATAAAATTATCAAGGTTTCCATTCATTGAAACAAATTCTATATTTCAATAAAAACTGCAACAATTAATTAGTCTAACATGTGTAGACCCAGTTCAGACTGAGAGTGAACATAACCACAGAATGTTGGAAAAATGCTCTTCTATTGTTCTAAATAAATCATATGCTAACTTTGAGTAGAAAACCCCAACCATTAATCAAGGTTGGAAAACAGTAACCAACTTGGAGGGAAGTTAAATTGGCTGTCTATGGAAAGAAGCTTTTTTTACAAGTTAAGTTACAACTGCCGCAATATCTGGAACTTTACTACCGGTATAACAAAAAGCAATACATTTTGGAAAACACCAAAATCTCTTCTTTTTTTTCCATTAACATTTGATTAACTTAACTGTAAATTAAATTTCTTACTTGGTCATCCATAAATAAGAATGAAAATAAAGATCATTTGCTACAATACCATTACAACATATACGATAATAGGTATATAGAATTTACTTAATTAAAATAAAATAATAAATCATGCATAACCGGCACGTTATTAATCAGATCTGTCCTAATCTATGCAATACAAACACTGTATAAATAAGATTTAGTAATTGACAATGTCAAAATTAAAAATTGAGACAATTTGTTAACATGAACTAGGGTGATTTATAAATAACTTTGCATGTACATGAAAAGCTTGAAGAAGAACGGTGAACAAGCAACTGCATGAGCATGAATATTGTACACAAGTTGATAACAAACAAAAATATGACAAAACAAATAGTGGAAACTAAAAAAAGCACCAGTTGAATGTATGATCCAGCAATACATTCACCCCAGCTATTCAAAGTACACTCTAACCATGGAATAATTTCATATCATAAAACCCTGGCTACTTTTCAATGTACTCTAATAACTGTAACAACACTTACACTGGAGAGACATTTTAAAAAAAAATAAAATTGAAAGGCTTTGAAAAAATGAAACTTTGATAAAAAAAAGAAAAAGAAAAACTATTATTACTAACAGTTGTGACTAGTCAATCGATTAGATTCAAACATTCCTTTATGCTAGTTTATGATTCTGGGTAAGTTTGAAATTTATCAATCATACAGGTCATCATATAAATAACTGTCAAACTCACTGGATCTATTCATCAATTCATGCTAAGTATATACCTGGATATAATTTTGGAGAGGGAACTTTGGGCAAACTGTCTGTGGGTAAATGCACCACTGCATACAAAAAGCATTTAATATCATTATTTATAATTTTAAAAAAAATGATTCCTCTATGCATATTTCTTTATGTAATTTTTAGAGCTTATTAAATAAAGAAAATCAATTTAATTTTCTTGTAACTATAACCTTGTTCTTTGGACAGAAAGGATATATTGGGTCAAAAGTTTGATAAATTTTTCTTTTAAAAAATAAAATGTAAAAAACAAATGAAAAATATTTCAATATAAATATGACGTTTGTTTGTTTTAATTAAAATGAGTTTATCTAGCTGCTGAAAACAAAATGTATTAATATTATAAATGATGGCTTCATTTTCCTTTTTAGTTTGTACGGGGCGGGGGCCAGATTTTTTTCAAGTCCTCCTAAAAGATTTGGGGGAGGGACATAAATGTTTGAAAATTCTGTCCATGATTTCAAGTTCATAAATGTTAATTATCCAATAACTAGATCATAATCATTTTGTTAATTCACAAATTTTGATAATTTTAACAATTAAAATTATAACAATATCAGCATTGAAAAATGACTACAAGTAATTAAAATTTAAGCTAATACTTATTACTTAGAGAATAAATATATCAGTCAATTCACCTCATCAGAATGTGAAAATCCAAAAGATTATTATTCACATATGAATATTATTTTTAATTAAAAACTGATCAAATACTTACCAATTTAAATTTTGTGCATGTTATACATTGTTTTTCACTTCAAATGCCTATAAATGTGTTTCATTAATTCTTAATTTTTTTGGCTCAGTGATTTGTAGATTGATATTTAATTTAAAAAATTATGACAAAAATGTTACCACAAAAAAAAAATTAAAAAATCAAGAAATATCAGATGCTCATCAAATAATTATCACACCAAAATTATGTAAATGATCAAAAGAAAGAGGTATCAATCAATTATCAGTCAGCTGTTACATTCTGATTGTGTCGATCATTTTCAAATTCTACAAAGTCATCCAACAAACTAGGCCAAGCCTCAGTGTCATCATAGCTGCTAAGGTCTTCACCCACTTGTTCTGTAAAGTTAAGAAACATATCCCAGGTGTCTTTGGGGATTCCTCTGATGCTGGTATGCTTTTCCAAGAACTCAAGCCAACGATGAAGAACGGGAGGCTCATTTTGAGAAAACACAAGCTTCCACAAACTAATTGCCATATCAGTGGGTAACGTTCTCTGACCAGATGCACTGTCCAGGCCAAATTTGTAGGTCCAACGATATAAATCCTTAAAAACTTGTTTATCACGGACTTCATTTAAAAGGTCAGGAAATTTATTTTGTATACCTTTGAGTGAATCAACCCGCATAGCTTTGCATCCCTGAGAGAATTCAGCACGAGAAAACTCACACATGGTCTCTGCTCCGAATTTCCATGCCAATATTAAAACTATAAATTCTTCAGGTTTCACCTCTAAATCCATGCAAAATCTTTCTATACCATCAGCTAATATGCAATCTTCATTTTTATCCCTATAGAGTTCAAACAGGGAGAGAATTTTGGCCTCAGATACTTCTCTAGAAATTAGGGATAAGCGCTTTGCATCAGCATGGATCCCTTGCTTTTTTATGGGTGGCAATTTGGGATAAGGTGTGAACATTTTCCACTCAGAACTTGGTGTAGTCACAGGCGGATTGGGCTCCCCACAACCGTTGTCTGAGACAGGAATGCCAGCAATGTAGTGAGTGTGAGAATGATTAGAGTGACCAGGGTCTCCTAAGCTGCCCACTGGACTGTTCAGCCCCTGCTTCTCACAACACGGAGAAAGGCACTGACCCATTGACATCAGCACACACACCCTTGCTAAAACATCCTACCAACCTGCAAAAAATGTGTTCATTATTTCTCTTATTTGTGTATAAAATCATAGAGAACCTTTAAAAAAAAAGTATTCTTATTAACAATAAACATATCTATAGACATCACACAGTAAATCTGGCAGTCCTGTGGCACACTGTTAGCAATAGGAAAGATCAAAGGAAAGAGGTATCACTAAATTAATCAGCATTTAATCAACCAATCCTAATTAATCTGTAATCAACTTAGTAAGTTAATCTGCCTATTGAAAATGTTCCCTAGGTGTAAATCCGATCAGTGGCATAACTAGGATATCAAAAATAAATGACATGCACTAGCAAAATAGTTTGTAGGAGTGGGGCAGCGGCAACTTCTCTGATACTTTTTAAGATCAGCATGATTTTTAGACAACTTATCTTGTAATTACCCAAGTATAAAAAAGGCATAAAATTATGTCTCCTAATTAATCATGTGTGATGACCAGTTTCCCCGACACAGTTTTATACCCATCAACTCTTGGGAGGATATCACCCATTGTTTTAAGTGATCATTCAATGGCATGCCTCTAGTTACTTTACTGGTTACATTAAAGTAATTTTGCAGATGAGGGTTGGCTTGTTATGGTAACGTTTAGAGTCTAATTTCCCAACTGAGCCCAAGTCTTAAATGTTTGGGAGACAAAGAGTAGCCCATGCTTTTATTTCTTGACCAGATATTGTATAAAAAATGGTTTACCATAGGCCCAACCCCCGTAACCCAAATAGTTTTCCCTATAATTACTATCACTATTGAAATAATATAATGAATTACCTACACAGTATAATTTCAAAACTAAATACATGACAGTTAAATGGCATTGTCTGATGTGAGGCCCATTAAAAGTAATCTGCTTAATCGCTTAGCTGTAAAACTGTTAACTTTTAACACTTAAGAATTGAACAAATTACTTGGTTAAGTTACAATTAGTGTAGTAGCATTTGATAATTCAAACCGACCAAGCATGGGATTTAAGTATCCATGAAATCATGAAAGAGGTGATAATAGTGATAAGTAAATAATTCAATATTCTATAATATGATCATTGGTTGTATTCTCTTCATTTAAGACACTAAGTCACTAAAATTTTGTGTTTAGGGTATGAGTTTTGCAAAGAGTTTTCTCATGTCATGCTAAGCGCAGTGACGTCAGATTGGGGAATCCCAAAACTGGACTTAAGGTGAAAAGATCTATTCATTGAAGGACCCGAACGATGTGTGTTATAAAATTCATGTTCTTTATTGAGCATTACTCGCGTCATAAATGATACGGTTACTATGAAGTATATTGAAATGAAATTTTCCATTAATTTGTATTAAAATTCAACTTACATGTTTCAAAAGAAAGGAAAAAAGAAACAAATCCTTGCTGATACCCCAAGACCCAACCCTGGTGAAAAAAAAGATGCCCGTCATAATTGCTGTATTTTGATTAGTTGAAATCAAATTACCCGTATGTTGAAACTTGGGTAACAAAAGGAAGACTACTGCTTAAATTATTGCATTTGGAATGATCTTCTAGGAACTGGGGAGGGGAGACCACTCCCTAAACCCCTCCCCTCGCTTTAAATACCAAAATAAGAAACATAGAAATTCTCTGGGGAGGGGAGACCTCTCCCCAGTACCCTTCCTTGAATTTAACAAGAAATATAAAATAAGAAAACAGTAACTTCAAATCTTTTTAGTATGGCACTGTAGACGAAAATGGACCTGGGGAACCTCCATGACCTATAGCGTGGAACACATCATCGGCTTTACCACTAACTCAAAACCAGCCCACTAAGTCTAAAAAAAACTCCAATAGGAATAGATAAGTTACCAAAAGGCCGAAAATTGATCCTGATCCACTAAACTAACTTGAGGTTAAGTTTGTAAGGGGGTTCATCCGTGGGACAGAGAATGCCAGATTTATACTTTCTTACTAACATAGACCTAGTTTCTACTCACTGACCACTTTTATTTGACTATTCTTTCATTTCCTTTCATTTTCATGAATAATAAATAGGCCTATAATGCCCTATAAAAAAATTATCCATTTAAATTTAATCATTTAATTTTAAAATAATATGCAGATAAATGATATTAGTAAAATATACCGACCGCTTCGAAATCGTTCCAAAAATGTGTTTGGAACTTTGAGGCATCACGATACATAAAAAACAGATGCCATCGGCTCAGAAGTGAATTTAATGTTAAATTTGATCTCATAAGCCAGAAGCTCAATTTTCTTTTGATCGGTATAGCATATAAACAACACAAAGGCATCAGCTGCTATGATGATGGCTAACTTCCTGTTAGTTTCATGACGTCAGAATAGTCAGGAGCTAGAGACAAGATGGTGAAGTTTCGAATAAGAAATTTCTGAAGCAATTAAATTTTAATTAAATTAAAGAAATGGCATCAGCTTTTCAATGTATTTTTTTTTGCGACACTTTAATTTATATTTATAAATGGGATTTATATGGCAAAATATGGCAATAAATTAAATAAATGTGAAAGATGTTTTATTTACCGTACTCATTACTACTGTTATATAATATAATATAGGTTTGCATATAAGTAGAGTGAGCAAAAAAACAACACATTAAGAGAAAGACACTGATATAGTTGCTATTACAGAATCTATAATACTATATCCCCGCTAAGTCTTGAAGAGTGGTACATAAACAATAATAAAGAGCATGATCTGTAGCTTATAACATGCTCTTCATTATTGTTTATGTACCACTCTGTAGCCTATAACAGCCAATGATTAAAAAGACGCGGCCCTGAGAAAGCCGCCCTTAGGCGACTGTTTCGTCCCCGCTACGTCCCGACCGGGCAACTCCCTGGGCAGTGGGGAGTGGTAACGGAACACCACCTCCCCGGAGAGGAAGTAAAGCCGTCCCGACCCATAGGAGAGTGGACTGCGGACGCTTTAAACGCAGCGTCTTCGGTCGACCGGACGTCCCTCAGGCCAGGAGGGAGGCTCCTGGCGCGCTTCCGATTGGCCTGGAGTCGGGGAGACCCGGCTCTGGCCCCTGTAGGGGAGTGCCGGGGGGGGGGTATTATGAGTGCAAACTCGACGACCCACCGACACGAGCTCCAAAGTGACGTTATTAGTAGCTTATAACACTGGTTTCTCATTCCTTTGGATAGAATGATGCATGGGATTCACATCTTTACATTGGTGTGGGAAGAAGGCTGGAGGGCCCCTACCCCAGGCGGCACCTTTTTTTTTTTATTTGGAGGCAGCATTATCTGTCAACAGGGTGCTTATTTTCGTGAAAGGGGCGCCAAAATATTTGGCCTGACCCGAGATTAACCCTTGATAACCCACTGCATCTTTACAGTAAATTATTGTGTACAAATGCACATCTATCTAATTAGTCTACATATAGTTTAGTAAAATTTATCCTGCTTTAGTCACAGTACTGACTAAAAATTTGTTACGGGTAATTAGTTAAAATTTGTGTGCTATGCATATTAATTAATGTTATTATCTAAAACGGTAACGCTGTTTTTATATGGTAAATTTTCAGTTTTGCAAACACTGTGTTTTAAGTAACTTTTAGATCTCAAAGGTGGGGGTGGGGTCCAATCCAATACCTAAATAAACAATACAATAAATTAACCGAGCAACAACATAACCATACAAAAACAACAAAACAGAACTTCAATCCAGCAACAACATAACTAAACAAACACAACAAAACAGAACTTCAATCCAGCAACAACATAACTAAACAAACACAACAAAACAGAACTTCAATCCAGCAACAACATAACTAAACAAACACAGTAAAACAGAATTTCAACCCAGCAACAACATAAATACCACTATAAAGTATAAAAACAAAGGTGGTGATGAATTTCATAAAGCAAGCTTTATTTTTTAAAAAGGCTAGAAAATTTCTCAAAGGGTGAGCATGAACTAATAATGGTTTCACACAACTTACGCTTAGCAGATAATCTCAGAGGACAGACAGACTCTGACATAATTTACAGTACAATGACCAATACTTCTTGTCTTGGTAATTTCCTTAGTTAAATTAACACACACAAATAGTTGAGAAACAATAATATCATGTATATATATTATTTTATATTGTTTGTTATTAAACACATCAGACAGTAACAAAAACATCACCAGAAAGAGGATGTTGAAGTAGGGGAAACATTTCACCATGTAACTGTGAAAAGAGAATTGGACTCATAATTGACTTTAAGGCTGTGAAAAGTTAAAGGAAGTTGGCCCATTTTTTGGGTGTGAAAAGTTAAAGAATGTTGGCCCATTTTTTGGGTGTGAAAAGTTAAAGAATGTTGGCCCACATTTTGGGTGTGAAAAGTTAAGGGAATTTGCCCATTTTTTGAAGTGTAAAAGTTAAAGGAATTGCCCAATTTTTGGATGTGAAAAGTTTAAGAGTGTTGGCCCATTTTGGGGGGGGGGGGTGGGGGGGGGTTTGTGAAAAGTTAAGGGAAGTTGTCTCATATTTGAGGTGTGAACATTTAGTTGGGTATTTACAAACAACAGATTGAGGATATTTACAAGCTAGAAGTTGGGAAACTATAAATTAATAACATTGATAAATTAATGAGAATGTTTTAATAGCACCTAAACAGTCAAGACTTTTAAGTCAAATTCAGGCATGTGGGAAATAATGAAGCAAAGACATTTTGGTACTCAAGTTTTTAAAAATGGTACAGAAGTCTAAACTCAAGATATCTGTCTTAAAAGAAAAAAATATTTAAAAAGTGATATGCCATTTTCAGTTTATTAATATGGGCAGATAGATGAGTTATTTGAGATGTGTGTGTCATCTAGGCCGATGGGCAAGTAAAAGTTTTCAAGACGGGAATAATTACCTTTTCTAAAGGCGTTATTGTCATTCATTGTAATTTGTTAAGGTTATTTAAATCTTCTGTTGGAGCTTTACAGTTTTCTTGGTCGTCCACATCTTAATTGTTGGTTTCTGATCGTTTGTCTTTTAATGTGTTGTAAAGTTTTGTATATGTGATATTTTTTTATTAATGTCCCAACAGTCCCGTTTCAGTCACATGGTCTTGTTTATGTATGGCGTCTAAATCTGACTGACATTGATTTTCTTTAACCAGCATGAATTTCTGAGCCTGATTAGTAGAAGTAAATCTCTTTCTTTTTTTAACTGCCATATCATTAGTGTTATATACTAGTACATTTCATTATCTTTCTGCCCCAAACATATTTAATTTTAGCTTTCAATGAAAACACTATAAAAGTGATTGTTTGTATAAATTATAAATCTATGGTGCACACTGTCACAACAATCAAGTGGAAGAAATTTTTCTCATCACATCATGTCATACAAGTCAAGAAACCAATTTTTATTTACATTTGTGTGAATATTTTGAGCTTATATAAGAGGGCAGCCGGACTGGACACATGCAAACACTAAGGCCAAGCTTTCATCGCAGAACATGACTACCCACTTGGTGGATGGCAACATGGCTGTAGAAAGTCGCTGTGAGAATGATAAACACAGGAATAAATAAAGAGCCCATTTTAAGAAGGATAGTGCAGGAATATAAAACGTAAGAGACTAAAAAGATAAACATGTTGAGCCCATGGAATTCTTTTCTGCTCAATTTATTTGAATACAGCTGAAATGAATACAATGGTTTTTAACTTTAAAGTCAGGAGTGTCCAACTTACAGTATCCATTCAAACAATAATGAAGTTGGTCTACAGTTACAAAATTCACACAAACAAACAGTGACAAGTCAGCATTAACATCTTGTAATTGAATGGGAAATGAAAAGTACATTTGAGGGCACAGACTTCTTTAAATTACATTGGATATTTGAGTGGTAAAAATTGTTTGGTGTAGTTAGCTTAGGTGGCTAATGGAGCAAATGCTTAGATGGCACATGGAGCACAAAAACTAGTGGATGGACATAGAAAGAATTCATATGGGGTGTGCTGTATTGAAGATATTGCACCTAACTTGCGGAACCGTTTGCCTCATTCCCTGAGGGACTTTCAAAATGATAAAAGTCATTTAAAAACCATTTAAAGACGTTTTCCTTAAAATAGATTTTAAGAGCGCTGTGAGCATGCTAAAATAGCATGGACCCAAGCGCTATTAAAAGTACTCAACCATCATAGTCGGCAATATTGTATGTGTGGACCTTTTTACAAAAAGTTTGGACACTCCTGGTATAAGTGAATACTGGCTTTAGAGAATTATGTCAGCTGTCTAGGAGAATTGTGCCTTTTCATGACACAGCCAAATTAACACCAAGTGTTAGAAATCATAGCAAGCTGTTAAGATGCCAAACATCAGTGTAGTGTGTAACCTTGAAACAAATATAGAAACATCTGCTTCAAAATTTCCCATTCTTAATCTTAATGTACGAATTGTCAGAACAGTTCTCTAAATAAATAGTGTGGACAGTACAGCTGGTGGAATGTGCAAAACTGATATGACTGGACTCAAATCTTAAATCTAAACTGATTTAAGCATAGCCTGGACTAGTCTATATAAAAATTGGTCTAGCTAGACCCCAATTTCAACTAATCCTACATTTCTTATAGGATATTTTTTTTTTCCTTTCTTCTTTTTTTAATAGTAAGTCAAAACCATTTTATCCGTAAAGAAAAAGTGGAGGTTGCAAATATTTTGAGAAATATGGACCACTGAGCCAGCAAAAACTGATCACAAGAACATTTTACAGAAAGAGATTATATGAATCTAATGTGGATACTTTCAGTACACATTTGATAATCCTTGCATTCTCTAACGAGAATTTTACAAAAATAACGTTCCATTTTAAAATGAAAACCTTTGGAAATAACCATAAGCTCACTCACAAACATGACACTTCCAACCGACTCGCTCATGTTCGATGGGACAGTTTGGACTACAAGTTATTTTATTATTCCAAGCCTTTATTCATTGTTAATAGGTTGGATCTATCTTCAGCAATATCCAAATCAAACACTCCTCCACTTTTTCTTTTGTTTGGACAAAGTTCAACCCAATGTTAGTGTTAAATAATACATGGCTGTTAGCTGATTGGTTCCAATCAGTATATAGTGAAATAATAATACCACATTGTTGCCAGACTGGCTAAATGTATTCAATATTACCTTATTGCTGGAAGATATGAAGCTTGTGTTTTTAGTGGGAGTTTTTATGCACTGATAGCCAAACTACAGATAAGCATATGCTCAAAATTTTAGTTTTAAACTTCTCCATGTTCTATATACCCTCTAAAGGAGGGCTATCTAATGTTTTGTACCAACTGGACCAGTTAGCTGATGCAATGAAGGTATGTATACTAGAGGAACATGCACCCACCTAGAGAAGCATTCATTTTTTGTTGAGATATTGGTAAGGAAACCGTAGAGAAATAAATACTCCTTCACAGTATAAAACAATTTGATATGGTCAGCTTCAGCTTCTGATCACAACAGAATATGATATGCTGGGGGAAACGGGAGAAATACATTCAAGACAAGCATAATGGGTTGAAAGACCAACTGTACATGCAGTAATAAGACAAATTATTAATACAATTAAACAGGATTTTTTGGCAGGGGAAGACATTAGTGGTGCATTGCGAGGTAAATTTTAATATGTCAACTGTCTTTCAATCTTAGTTCATTGCCATACAGAAATGTGTGATGACAGGGTTACTTTATCAACAGGACAAGGTCAAGGCATGACGTAATATATACTGACTCTTTCTATAAGCTAATAAATAGATCTCAGGAATGCATTAAGTGTTTAGCCACAATAAGGCAAATGGTTCAATGTGTTCCACCTGCCAATACCACATTCTGTTCATGTTATATTTAATGTCCCATCAAATCACCATCTGCTGTCATGACATGTCTTTAAATGTCACTTGTCCATATCTATGTGTTTATGTAAATTGCCATTCATCAATCTATTCATGTTATCAGCAAATAAAATCTCATGTTTCATACTTCGATCTGATGACATGAAATCCCCCCCCCCCCTAACTTTTTTTTCTAATTAAAACCAATCTAGCTATCAGTATAACTTATTGTAACAATTTAATATTAGGACAGCCAGTTATTGGTGTGGTGCATCGAACCATCTGTCTTACTGCAACATGAGTAAATAAATTAACTAGTCAAGTTTTATTCATTTGGGCTAACAACCAAAATAGAAACAAAAGTCAAATGTCAATTATTTGCTTTATCTTATATTTCTATCATTGAGCTAAATATTATATCCTGTCTATTCATGACACCATTTAAATATGGGGGAATGGGTTGGAGAAGTAGAGTCAAATGATCTCAACTGTGTGTGGGTGGGTGGGGGGGCAGAGATATCCTAAGACAACAGTCAAGTCTAGGTGGGTTTAAATCTGTGTCTTCATAACCTTGTATAAAGAGGAATCAATCCTGCTCATCAAAGTGTTTCAAATATTAAAAGGAGCAGACAGGGGAAGATCTAATGCTAATCTAAAGTTTTCCACCCGATACTTGCTCTACAAGCTGGCATAAGATGTCTTCTGGTCCAATGTTACTGGTCCCCCTCACTTGTTACCATGACAACTCAAAAACAATTTATTCAATGGCTTAAATGTCCCGGCCTTAAAACTTCACAATGAGTTTTATTTTGGGACTAAGCCTCCACACAACGAACGATTCCTAGAAATATCAGACACAGTTGAGTTGGACCTTTTTCCGTAGAGTAATTTTTTTTTTTTGAACTCTTGTAATGTTCACATTTAATATTACCTGAAAGTGGCCAGGAATGCATATTTTACTTATTTTTTTTTAAAATAGGAAAAGAAAACTCACAAACAAAAATCACCAAAACACCCGAACAAAAAAATTCAGGTCAGAAAGAGTGCAGAATAGCAAAAACTAAGCTATGACCAAGATAGAGTTAGTTATGGACTTTGCTAAGGTGATGGGAAAAGAAAACAAACAACTAGTATTTTTGTTCAACTCGACAAACAAAAACAAAATCATATATTAGTGGACCCAAAGCACGGCAAGCCCATGCAAATTGTAAAATATTTTATGAACAGTGCACATTGGAAATGGTAGAGCTATGTACAGGTATAGAAGTGAAACACCCAGATGTAGGTAAAGTGATAGCGTAAGCCTCGACACTTCTTCAATACATGCATTTTTTAATGGCTGCAACTGCTATAGAAAACTAGATAACACTCTGTATGATTTATGAGCAATGAGGTGTCCACATGACAGATGTTTGCTTTGTTCAACAGATAATTTTCATTCATTGGATAAATGCTCTGAACAATTTAAAGTAATATAATCTTGAACGGCACATTAAAACTATGATCAACAATTGTAAAAATAAAACCTCAAGCAAAACTAAACATCTCATCACAAATAAGTCAAACGAGTCAACATGTAATTAAACAGCATCCAATCACAGCAAAGTATTACTCACTCACAGCACAAGCAAACATGACCAATGTATTTCTCACAGCACAAGCAAACATGACCTACGTATTACCCACTCCAAACACATGCAAACATGACAGATGTATCCCATGACATATAAAGCAAAAAATTTTTTTTTAAATGTATGTTGTTACTTTATAAAACAGTTAAACCTTAGTATCAATTATGTAACCCCAAAAAAACTTAAGACTATGAAAAATCGCTATGGCCACACACTACATTTACAAGTGATAACTAATACATACATTTCTCTTCAGAAAATTGAAAAAAAATTGCCAGAAACATTATCTATTGATAAGACTTTGGTCAAATTTGGTCATGGAACATTTCAGAATATAGCAGTAACAAGAAATAAAAGAAGAAATCTTATATTTTGTTTACAGTTAATCCACACAAAAAAAATAATAATAATAATAAAAAAAATATTAAAAAATTCAAAACTGCAAAAGATGTTCTCCACAAGAAATGGTTTCATAAAATATACAGCAGTAGAAAAGTCACTTCACTTCTCTACAAGCTTTAACTTCAATGTACTAACAAAACTGATATGAAAATGGTGCAAGTATCGTGCATTGCAGAGAACATGATCAGTGACAAAAAAAAACATAAATATTTTTAAATCACAAAAGGACACATCATGGATACCTCACATACATACTCTTTAAAGGAGTTATACAGTAAATAAACAGATGGACACACAAAATACCTTTTTTTTTTAAAATGGGCAAAGATCAACTTATGACATATGTTTGTTTGCACACAATGATATATAGGAAAATATCATATCAATCAGTGATCTATTCTCTAATGATAATACATTTGCTACAAGTCTTTTTCTCATGCAGGCATGCCTCATAGTGGTACTTAATTCCCAATATTCCAGTTTCTCCCTCACAAATTAAAAACAAAAATGTTTGGCCATTATCAGAGCTTTACTCCAAGCAGTCTCTAGCATGAAGTCAATAAAGCGATCAAAGTGGACACCAACATGAGCATGTTGATTTGATTATAACACAGTCACTTAGGCACTTGGTCCAAAAAGGAAATCACAGTGTTAATCAGAGGAAGCCACCATGACAAGGTCAAGGGCGTCACATGGGGGTCATCCCACCTCAATTGTTCATTTACAACAGAGAAATTATATTAATAGGACAAAATGAGAAAAGAATCTCTAGTCATTATGCAGTGAATATAGATGGCCCACGTCACCAATACATCAAAACCTGCAGTTCTGAATAGAAATTAGAAAACCATCTGGTGAGGAAAAGGAAAGCCCAGCTTCTATCTAAATACAAGAAATTATAAACAAATGGAACACATATTTCTAGGCTTCAACATGACTGTGTTAAATACTGAATTTAATCTTATGTCAACTCTTAATACGTAATATATAATAATACCATTCAAACTATACCACCCCAAACATGGCATTTGTTCATATACAAACTAAGTTCCTTGAAAACATAGAGTATTGCTACAAAAGTGATTTTCTAATAAGCTGGACAATTAAAAATAAAATGACCACACAAAAGCATCAATAAACCTGACTACACTAAGACTTGAGGAAATGTTTTTGTTTGAAGAGTTACATGACCAGATTTAAAATAAAGAAATATAATGGATGAAAAATAAATCATGGAGCTTAATTTCTGTCCCCAAAAATTGTTAGTGTATTAATACTGCAAGAAATAAAAAAGTGCTTATTATAATATTTGGTATTGGAATAAACTGATACAGTAATGGGAGAAACCTGCTGGCAGGAAATCAACTTTTGAAATGATTACAATTTTAAAACAAAAATCAGTTTAACTTCTCAAATAGGACAGACAACCTGCAAAAGTTGATAGGCTAAGTCTACATAAGTTGTATGAAGCTGTAATCTTAAAAATCTATTGAAATTATTTTATATATTTTCCATGTATTGTGATTGAATGATTATTTTTTAGTAGGATAGGGTTCGTGAAAGAGAAGTAACATAATAAATAAGCATGAATAATAATGAATTTATCCAACTACTTCATTTTAATAATTTTTGTAATTTATTAGAATCACTCAATTGGGCATGAAATTAATAAAGAAAATTCAATTGATCGTTAATTAGTGTACCATGTATTTTACATTTACATATATATAAATACCATTTACAAAAGAATTTTTACCATGTAAACTCAGTGACAAAAATCTATTAGTTTTCATTCTACACTTATCATAATAACTGATCTACAAACAAGGGATCAGCCATTGCAGGTAATTGTAGAGCTATGAGTTGAATTGATACAATCACTGTAGTATTTAGCTTTTTGATGAAAAAGAAGTTGTACCATTCAAACTAAGTGACCAAACGCACTGTTTGTTTTTTACATTACACAATTCAGTGGCATCTCTATTAACTTATATATACACAAGGAACCAGCCATTGCCGGTAACAGTAGGGGCATGAGTTAAATGATTATTTTTCCAAAATTTTTTTGGGAACTAATTGAAAAGTAACAGCAATATTTTATAATATGGATGAAATGAATTTATTTTATACAATCCTTAAAACTGGATAAGAACTTAAGAACTTAACCCAGTTGGGAGAGAAAGAAACTTAGTGGTTACATAAACATTTTTTTTCCCAGATATTGAAAGCATAATGTGAAAATAAAAACATTTCAATTAGTCAGAAGCTAATAATTCATAATGTTTATCTCTATTCTGAAACAAAATATTTGTTTCAAGCACAGGGACTTGTGCAGTGTTCAGTCTCTAGTTCAGCTGCTTGTACCTTGCTCTGCTAGCTTATCCCAACTCATGGCAGATGGACCAAAGTCTGGATCATCAAAGTTAAAAATGTCAAAAACTTCTTGTTGTGTTCTAGGTGTAAGTATGGGGTCAGCTGAGAAGGAAATGCTGCTGGGGGCAGCTATGGGATGATGAGTTGACATGTGATGGTTCGGCATGATGACATCCAACCAATCGGACATGTCCATCTGACTGGACGGGTCGACCCCATCCCCCAAGTCCCCACCAAGGCCAAGGGCAGACAAGTCAGGCTCTGATCCATGGCCACTGGGTGTACGTAATCCAGAACCATTGTCTAGTTCGCAGCGGGAGCCTGACCTACAAATAGGCGACATGTTGTCCATATGTAGGAGGCTACTGTAGCGAGAGTCCACAGGATTGTCTCCCCTTTTTGATTCCAAATTTAGACTGGAGTCTCCGAGATCAAGATGTCCAAAACCTGGCTCTGACGACCAGTCCATGGCAGAGAGATCAGGAGAAGGCAGCATTTCTCCCCAGTCCAGCAGCTCCCCGCCATCAGAATGGGATGTCCCATCATTCAAATTTAAAGAAGAGGAGCTGCTTAAGTCAGCATTGGGTGGAGATGAGATGTTAGTGTGAATCGATGTAAGAGTCTGGTCCCGAGGGCTAGTGGAAGCAGCTTGGTGGTTACTTGTGCTGGTGGGGAGATGAGTACGGTGTATCTGACCGAGACTAATGTCAGGAGACAAGGTGACAGAAACATTGGACATGAGTCCACTGGATGGGGACTGGGTCATGAGTTGAATGCTAGACTGAGGTAGTGATACCGGTTGACTGCTTGGCTGTGATGTGGAAAGAGGCTGACTGATGCTTTGCGACAGGGTCAAAGTTTGACCACTAGACTGTGACAGGCTAGTTTTGCCACTTGACTGTGACAGGGTAGTTTGACCACTTGACTGTGACAGGGAAGTCTGACCACTTGACTGTGACATGGTAGTCTGACCACTTGAATGTGACAGTGTTGTTTGACCACTCGACTGTGACAGGGTAGTCTGGCCACTAGAATGTGACAGGGTTGAAGGCTGGCTAATTTTTGGTGTTGGTAGTGGTTCAGTGGCAGCACTTGGAGGGAGATCTAGCACCACAAATAAATCACAACAGGCACTCAATTAGTACTGTACTCAAATAAAAACTTAAATGTTCATTTTCAATAAAATCACAAAAGAAATCACAAAAATTCAGAAATTTTTAAAAAATAATTTTGTATTTCAAATTTAAACCCTTTGTAAAAACTTTAAAACAAAAACAGTAGAGATGTTTTTATAATTAATGTTAACCTCTGTGTGGTTAAATTGAACTTAAGTCTGGTTTTTTTTAAATACATTTTTTAAAAATGTTTTGATTCAAGGTAAATTTATCAAATGCTTCATCATCTATAAAACATTACTGTATTATAAGAATTTTAAATTATATAATAAAATGTACACCCTCCTTAAAAATGACATTGTTTGATATTTAGATTAACGCTTTATAAATAGTGTTTTTTTGTGTGTAAAATTTGCATTTTAGCCAAAACTGATATTGAGTATTTGAAAGTCTTATGTTTTGTTTATTGAAATGGGATCCCTATTTTTAATGCACTTATAAATTGATACAAAACTTCTACCTCAATTATAATGAAAATAGGTGTTATTTTGTGTATTTTTTCAATAAATGAAATGAATTGGATACATAAATACTATTATTTTATAAGAAAGTGTCAAGTTTTTGTGTGGATATTGGGACATTGCATACCAGCCTTTCATTAAAATTATATGGTTACTTTCAATGCATCTTCTTTTTTTTCTCCATATATTTCAAAAACTGAATTATTTGTTTTGAATTAATTCACCAATTTCTGTTGCTATTAATTTTTTTTTTCATTTAGGTCAGACAAGAGATAGATAATGATTCAGAAGGCTAAGAGTTAACAATAAATATTTTTTTTAAATGGACCTTATTTGGAAACATGAACAAAATTTTTTTTATTTTAAACAAAAATTCTCAGCAACCAGGAAATGCTAACCTCCATTTCTAATAAGGATCTCCAAAACATCATCCATTGTCTGAGATTTGACCTGTGGCTCCATCTGTCCAAGGCCTATTGATTTATCAAGGTTGTTGTTCACATTGGTGTTACAGATTATGAGCTTGTTGTTCAGTGAAGGAACCTTTATAAGAGACAGAAGTATAATTATTTAAAAGAAGGAAATTTTCCAAAATTAAAAAAACTATCCATCCAACTGAGGTAAAATTTATCAAATTGATAATGTTGTGTTCAGATAAACTAATTTTGTTTTAAATGGCATTCTATACTTGCACACTTCTGGATCAACTTTTTGAACCACTTTGTTACGCTCTGGGAAGGCTATTTCCTGCAATTCCCCACACGATAAGACAAACAATTTATAACAATGAAATACACTGCAAAAAGTAACAAACCGTTTGCTGCTGTTTGATCTTGATAGCTTCATCATATCGTGGTGGTTCCTTGAGGGGGCCACTAAAATAAGGATTTGAAGTACAACGCTGTATGTTCATTTTTTGCTGTTGGTCTGCTACCAATGGCGATGAAGGCAGAGATGCAGCTCTAAAGAAATAATGCAACTGATATACTCCTAGATTCAACATACTATTTTATTATACTTTTTCATTATAGAGTTTTATCAGACTGTTTCATTTTTCTGAGTGTTCATTTTTGGGGAAATAACATTAGAAAAGTTAGAATGTTCCACATTTTGTATGTAAATAAATATGCTAGAATGATCAAATCTATTATTGCAAATGAAAAGAATACCTGGAAATGAGACCATTGGAGTGACCAGTGATAAGTGCAGTTGATGTTGGTGTAGCCGGCACCACTGCCGCTTGACCCGTGCTGACCTGTGATTTTGGTACAGTCGAGGTTGATGGTGGGCCTAGAAGCAAATAGTTTATCATCTTAGAGGAGGGATTATAAAAGAATAAGAATTATTTCAGTTATGACTTTAAACTATATTTGGTGTTTTATTACCTGTTGTCTAACCATATCCTTTGCTGATATACAAATTCTGTGACACAATGCAAGCATGTCATAAAATATCAGATGTTTTGATGAGAAGCAGCATCTAAGCAAATTATAAAAATAGATGACATCTCCCCTACCATCTCTATCACCTCCAAAGCCCTCACCCACCACCACTAACATTCCCCACCCACCGTCTGAAGCCCCAATGCCCATCACCTAAAGTGATATACACCCCCACCCCCCTCACTACTTCAACCACTACCTCAGACTTCAGCCTACTGTCTTTTTTTCCCTCATTTTAATCAACAACCATTTCCTGTCAACGCCATACGTTTGGCATACTGTGTTTCACTTAAGTTATTTATTATAAACCGGAGATGGAACTGACCCATGTTGTGAGATGTGCCTGGTTCTGATTTGACAGCAGTAAGCAGCTGAAGTGGTTTCGTAGATGTGGACGTTGTGATGGGCTGTAGTTGAGCTGGTAATGCTGAGCTAGTTAGATTAATGTGGATGGCATAAGGCAATGACACGGCAGGTTGGCCACTAGTCACCATATTTAAGAGGTTGGTGTCATTGGAACCAACATTAACACCGTTGATACTTGAGCTGCTGCTGACAATAGGTGGTGACTGCTGCACACCTGAACAGAATTACAAAAACACATTTAAAAATAATTATGTTATACAACTTTATTTTATATGTTTAGCTCATTTTAACTCTTTCGTTGCAGTGTAATGCACACTACGTTCATCGGCAGTGCTAAAAAGCATGGACAAAGCGCTGTGCTTTGTTTCAAAATCATGGTTGTTTCTTTGCTATTTCTCAGTTAAACTTTTTAAGAGCTATTTTTTAAATAGATTTTTACACAGTTTATGAGCGAAACCAAGGTTTATTTGTTGTCATTTGAAGCGTTATATTATTTATATTCTTCGCTGTTTTTTTTTCTTTATCAATACTGTTGCTATGGCTACCCTAGGCCTAAGTGGGGTGAGTAAGTTTCCAAGATGATTAACAGCTCAAAAAGCTTTTGAAATATTTTATACTAATTCTTTTGATAGTGAAGTTGATTAAGATTTACATCCATCACATAATTCCGATAGTAGTAGTTTTAGATGATTTGAGTTATAGCAGTGAAGATGACGTATGCCTACATCAAAGGGTTTGGGGAAAAAATGTTTTGCATATCATGATTTCACATTTTAAGTTATCTTTTCTGTTACTTATTTTAGTTAAACTGAAGAAATAAAATTACAGTCATATAGTCCATTCAATTATCTTTCATTTGATACCAAACTTAGTCTTATAAACCAAACAATAATATTAAAAATATTTTTTAATAAACCAAACCTCTCACTCTTCTTTGCTCTTTGAAATATTTACATTTGTTTTTTTTCAAAAATCCGCAGCGAAAGAGTTAAACAAACAAACATTTTTTTTTTACTAAATCATGCAAAGCAATAATAAGCAAATGTGACAAATGGATGGTTAAATTCTTGTTTACAACCATTGAAGCAGATGTAACAGTTAACTTGATTTTGAAAAAAAAAGATTGTATCTTTGAAATATGTATTTTTAAAATAAAAATAAAAACTTTGTGTCATCATCTGATGGTTCCTTCTATTCTGGTACTCTGATAGTGAGAATTGAAAGGAAAATCAAGACAAAAAACAGAAATAAATGTAATTTATTGATACTAGTGGAAGTGAAACTAGTAAGTGATACTAGTGAAAGTGATATAGGTGAAAGTGATACCAGTAAAACTGATACTAGTAAAAGTGCCCTTACAAGTAAAGTATTTTGATTTGAAAACATCCCTTGTACCTTGTATGATGAGCTTCCTTGCCACCAGTTAGTAGTACTTGCCTTTCATTTACAACTTAAACATTTGGACGCCTCAAGCTTTTTTTTTTAAATATCTTATTTCTTACTATTAGACACCTATAAATAGCACTTATGTTTTGTTCAGCATTGAATGTCTTGTGTCAATTTCACCAATGCTTTTAGTCTTACTTGGTGCTGCTTGCTGAAGGCTGTGTCCATTAAGAAACAGAGATGTTGGGTGGACAGAGGTTGATGGCTGTAATGTAGCCTGCTGAACTGGTGCGGTCAACATTTGACCAATCTGTTGGGGAAGGCTCAGTTGATCTTGGGAGAGCTTTGACAGCAAAGAATTCTGTAAGAAATTTTTTTTTAAATTCCCTCAGTATTCAAGGAATGATTACTCAATAATGTAATTTAATTAATGAATTTCACTCATACAAATTAACAGGACACCCAAATGCAAACAGTCAGGTTTACGCCAGTGCTCCCTTATATTGTCTCATACAATTATTAATGGAAAATATATGTTCAGCTCAGTAAATTTTTAAAAAAAAATCCCTCCACCCTTAGCACTTTATTAGGGTATTTTTGTTGCTTTGTATTTGATCTATAGTTTTTCTGTATTTTAGACTTACTTGAGCAAAGGTGGATGGGATACGAACTTGCCACATCTGTTGTTGTTGTTGCTGGAGCTGCATCTGTTGTTGTTGAAGCTGCTGCAGTTTTAGCTTGAGGTGGGATTCTTGCAGCTGCCTCTGCAGTTCCTCAATCTGTTTGGCCTGGGCCAAGACCACGTGATCATTAGCAGTCAAGGATACTTGATTTGATTGTTGCAGCGCCTGCTGCTGGAACTGTTGATGGGCCTGGGTCTGTTGAAGCAGCTGTTGCTGGAGATGGTGCAGAGTTTGAAGTTGCTGTAACTGCTGAAGCTGAAGGAGTGAGGTTGGTGATGTCAGCTGAAATATTATCAAATTAGAACAATTACATTTCTAATATTTATATCACCAACATTTTGGCCAAAAGATGACAAAAACACAAATACAATCAAGACTCATTTCAAGTGTCATTTAAAGATTTCATAATACTCTTTTTGACTAATTCTGTCCAGAAAAATAATTAGCTGAAAAATAAAAGGGGACTTTACAATTAGAAAAGTGATAAATAAATGAATAAGAAATACATTAGGTGTAACCCATTTACATTTTTCAAAGTACAACAAATATATATATATATATATAATAATAAGATAATGTCACCATGTAATGCGGAGTTCAATAGCGTACAATATAAATACTCCCTATTCACCAATACACCAAACAGCTTGCCATTTTTTTATCTAGGGTGCTTGGGGAGGGACATTTAGAACTTGTAAGAGCTCGATGGCTTGCTGACGCCATTTCCTAATGTGCATTGCCCTGTTAAGTGGGTGGGACATTAGAACTTTAATAAAGTATAGGGGCGTGCAAAAAGTGTGTGTGGTGGCATACATAGAGAGGTTACCATTTGGGTAGTGCTTTTATTAATGATTATTACAAACTTCATAAAATATTTGTGTGATGAGAGGGAGGGGGGTTGCGATTTTTTTATTTTTCCCCAGGCAACACAAGATAGGCCATAGTATGTAAAAAAAGATAGGCCATCGTATGGGTGGGCGTATTTTGTAACTATAGCAATATCTCAAAGCCCAAGTATGTGATAGACAGGTAATGGTTTATAGATGTTTTAAAAGCAATGAGATAATATATTTAACCTTCTTCAGAAAACCCATTTCATGGAGAGGAAAGACAGCGTGCACATTTTTATGTGGATAACTATATTTTTAAATCTGATGAAATTACCATAGTGAAAAAGACGTTTTATATTTTCTTATAAAATAAATAAACACGTGTTAATACCAATTTCAGGAAATACTTATCAATGGTGTTGACACATTGTGGACACATTTAAATAAGAATATCCATACAGCAAATTCAATGAAGTTGGAAAGGGGAAAATAATGGATAAGATTTTCTTCAAAACTAAAGACAGAGATATTTTCCCATTTTTCCAAAGATACAGTTCAGGTGCGAGGATAACTTTTTTTCATTTCTCGAAAATAAAATTTTCTGTGAAAATAAGAAATTTATTTTTCTACTTTGAGCAAAATAAAGTTGATGGAAAAGTGCAGGTATATTTTTATGAGATAAATGATTCTTTAAAAAAAACAAGGTTGCTACATACAAGAAAATTGGTTGAGATATTTTTCTTTTGATATAAAAACTCTGTGTTTTACAATCTTTCGAAAATATAGTTCAGGAGCTAGGAAAAAGGTGGGTTGAGTATTCAATGAAGATACAATAAATCAACATCCACTGATGCTAAAGCAATTTAAAATGGTAAATAGATTTTTTTACATTTAAGGACTGCTTTAACAAATTTTAGAAAATGTTTTCTTTGTAGTTCAGGGACATCTAAAATGGTTGGGTAGAGCTATATGATATTGACGATAAAACATTTCTCAAAATCCAATGATGTTAGAAAGTAAATATTTATAAATACTTTTTTAAGAATAAGGAAAATCTGATTTACTATTTCCTAATTATGCATTTCAATTGCTTCGAAAATTGCTGTAATTTTTGGGGTTTATACAATACATCAAACCCAGATTTAATTACATACGCAAAAAAAAATTTATTTTTAGATGTTCAGAATTCATAATAGCTTGTAGAAAGTAGCACAATATGCCTTCCATAATAACCCTGGTTACACCCAACCAGGTTATATTTTCGAATTCTTTTAGAAGAAAATGGTATTGCAGACCTGTTTACCCTCAAACTCTTAAAATCGTACAATATCATCACAAAATCAATCAATACATTATCTTAATAGTAAACTAAACATCAGTATATACAATGTATACACCTCAAAATCGTACATTGTATGCCAAAATCGTACGAGTAAACAGGTCTGGTATTGGTTGATATCCCTTTACTCAGCTTTCTGCTAAAACTCAAGGAAATCCTTACTCATGTTAGACGCAATCAGAATTCTATCATTACTTACATGAAGAAAAAAAAAAGGAGGAAGCTTCTAGAATGATTGAAATGACTTACTGAATGTGTCAGAGGTGCAGCAAACTGAACAGGAGACACATGTGTTGGTGAAAGCTGGGGTAATGGAACCTTCATGGTCTTCAAGAGTGAAGTGCCCTCACTTGATGGACTCACATTGATAGCTTTAAATCCTGTACCATCAGCATTTGGACTGAGGTTCAAAGTTTTAAATGCTGACATATCTGAACTAGTTCCCAGGTTGACAGTTTTCATGGTTGCTGGGTCTGAGTTTGGACTGAGGCTGACCGTTTTGACACTGGTAGAGCCATCAAAATTTGGACTCAGATTAATTGTTTTAATGTTGTTTGTGTCAATCAAACTTGCATTTATTTTGACAGGGTTATTTTCTAGTGAGCCTTGACTCAGACTGACTGCCTTGTAGGCATTGTTGGACATAGGCTGGATGAGGGCCTTGAAGCCCACCGAGTCTAAGCTGTGGCACATGCTTGCTGCCTTGAAGGCCATGTCGTCGACCCCCTGGTTCAAGTCCACAGAGACCGAGTCCACCTCCATGGGCATCATTTCTGCTGGCAATACCGAAGCTGGCCGCGTTTGGTCTGCATTCATAGAAACAACAGTTTGCCCTTGAGTCAGCGAAATTGGGTTGGTGTTGATTATGAGCTGACCGTTGGCAAAGCTTGACGACTTAAGCAGGCTTTGAGGGCCTAGAGCCGGTCCCTTGGTGCTGAATGTTGAAGACGGCTTGACATCAAACTCTGGTGTCATGGGCGTGCGAGGTCCTTGTGTGCCACCAGTAAAACTTAGGGGGGAATTAGGTGGGGAAATTTCTGTGGTTGTCATGGGCTCTTCTTTGATCATAGGTTTGACACTAGCAACTGTTTTAAGCCCTAATGTAGTCAGCGGTAAAGACACTGGCATTGAAGCACCTGAAGACACCAGCAAAGAGTTGTTTGAGCTATAGGAGCCTGATGATACAAGCAAAGAGTTGGGCGAGGTGTAGGTAGCTGGAGATACAAGCAGCGACGTAGTTGATGACGAAATTGGCCGAGTGATGGGAACAGCTGGCACTTCTCCATTGGGCTCTGTCTTCACCTCAAAAGTTGCTTGTTTGAACTGCATAGGTGTGGAGACATGATGAGATGCAGGGGAGGTATTAGATTTGGACCCAACTGAGTTAGACTCTGTAAAAGGTTTCAAGCGCTCTATAAGCTGGGGCTTGGGACCCGACACTGGCAAACTACGTTTCTTCAATTCCGCTTTCAGGTCAGCCACCTTCATCTCTTCTAGATTGCCAGTGAGCTTGGGTAAGCTCAAAGCGCTGGCCGGTATAGAAGTAAGCGTTTTAGCCAATGTCCTGGGGGCCACAGACTGGGTGGGTCTGGTTGGTGGGAGGGGTGGGGGTGTAGGAGGTGTAGGGGGCGAAGGACTGACCCGATGTGATGGAGCTGAGGATTGTACAAATACTGCTGGGGTGGTTGATGCTTGGGCCTGGCTGTGTTGTAAGGTAATCAGACTTGGAGTGTTGGCAGAGGTGGACTGGATGAAGGCCGGGCAAGTGTTCGACGTTGGGATTACAGGGGAGCTCAGCAACATGCTAGAGCCAGTTGAAGAGTTTGAATTCTCCCCAACATTGGAGCCACCAGGACTTAGGGCTACCACACCTTGTTGCTGCTGCTTCTGTTGAAACTCTAACTGCCACTGCAGGAAGAGCTGCTGCTGCTGTAGCATAATGTGGTAGGGTGTATCCTCTGTCGAACCAGTGCTGCTTATTGTTGCACTAGAGCTGCAGGTCTGACTCTTCACTACAGAAGGTGGGCCTTTGTATTCATGAAACTTTATTATTCTAGCTTTTGAGGTGGCCTTTGGCTTAAGCTTCTTGGAGCGAGGCTTGCCACTGCTGGTGTGGCTATTGATGTTATTAATCAAACCACTGCCACCCGCCGGCTGACTGGAAGACAGTTTAGTGAGAGTGGTGGAGTTGGTGGTCACAGGGCTTTTGCTGATGGCCACAGGTATGGAGATGCCCTTGGCAAAGGTGAAAGAGATAGGAAAGGTTTCTCCTGATGGCACAGGGGGAGCTGAGCTGGGACTGCTGACATCGGAGGATTCATCCATTTGAGGAGATGGGGCTCCATCACTTTCATCTTCAAACAAGTTAGATGAACTAGACTGATCCATGTCTTCTGTGTCACAAGTGGGCACAAACTGAAGGGTTCCATCTGAAACAGCAAGGACAATGCTAAATTATCTTACCTTGACTACAGTTAATGCTAATGTTACCCAAATATTATCTTGACAAAAGTTATCCTATTTCCCTATATGTTATCTTGACTGCAGTAAACCTTATGTTTCACCATATATTACCTTCACCATATATTACCTTGACCAAAGTAAGCCTAAAGTTTTCCAAAAACATACCTTTGATGGCATTAACCAGCTCATTTGATGGCTGTAATATGTTGCCTTGAACCAGCTCCAATGGCCCCGGCCTGTGGGCCAACTTGTCATTGAGCCCATCCAATAAACGTGATCGCTTCAGCAACCGCTGACGTTCATGGAGAGATGGATCTATAGTAGTGTCTGACAAACAGATGCAAAATATGTCATTATAATCTGGGTTTTGTATAAAAAAATGTAATTAAATCACAAATACTTGTTTAAATTAATTTACTGATATGTACCTTAAATTACCACAAAAAATACAACAACTAATGTTGTGTTTTAAAACTACATTGTTTGCAAGAGTTAATTTCAGTTTTTCTAGGAGTAAACTTATTAAAAGTGAAAGTGAATTTGTTTTTTTACAAACATCGATGTATATTTAAAACTCATAATATCTTATTGAACAGCCTTGCTACATGGTTCCATCAGATAGTCCTTTGTGATTGAAAGGATTATGGTAATTAAAAAAAAAAAACATTTAAAAAATATCTTGTCTCCCTGTACGCTAAATGCATCTTTTTTAAAAATATAAAATTATAATTTTGTCTAAAATTTTGTCAGCATACCTTCTAAAATATGTTGTTGAACTAATGCTTGCCTATCCGGTCGATGTTGAATCTTGTGACGTAATATGTCACCAGTCTAGATAAAGATGCAGTTGGAAAAAAACGATAAGTTATAAAGATGAATAAGTGAAATGAAAAGATAACTCCTAATGTCCCTAAACAATAGAGTTTGCTTGAGAAAATACTCACTTTAGCACGTTCCAACTGTTTAGTCTTCTCAGCAAAAGCTGGTGGTGTCTTTAGCGCTGCAAATGTATTCAAAATTTTTTTTTAAACAAGGCAATATTGGGGGGGGGGGGGGGGGGGAGGGGGTTNTTTAAATCACATGGAAGACTTTGGCTGTCTAATTCAGCCTTTAAATCACATGGAAGACTTTGGCTGTCTAATTCAGCCTTTAAATCACATGGAAGACTTTGGCTGTCTAATTCAGCCTTTAAATCACATGGAAGACTTTGGCTGTCTAATTCAGCCTTTAAATCACTTGGAAGACTTTGGCTGTCTAATTCAGCCTTTAAATCACATGGAAGACTTTGGCCGTCTAATTCAGCCTTTAAATCACATGGAAGACTTTGGCCGTCTAATTCAGCCTATGAATCACTAGTTCAGACTATAGACCAAATTGGTCATTTAATCATTCTCAATGGCAAGCTAGTTCAGTCTAGTAGAGAAACAATATTTATTTTTCATTTTGGTGCATAATTACAAAACAAGTTTCTTGACAAAGTTAATCTTACGTGGATAGATGCCTCGATCTACTAACTCATTCACTGATCTCCTCAGCATCAACTTTCTCTTCAGTGCTGAAAATATATACAGAAAACATCTATTCCTTAAAAAATCTTGGCAAAAAAATAATTTTGGTTCATTTTTGTGTTCTTTATTCCTTCAATAATATGCGTAAAATGATGTTACTTTTTTTTGTACATTCCCCAGGGATGCAAAAAAAAATAATTTTTTTAATTGATTATAAAAATCAAATATCTTGTTTTTAAATTTTTGGCACTGATTTTTTCTCAATACTTAGAATGTTTCATTAAATGAATGTTTCATTCCATAAATTTAAGATCAGTTGTAAAACCATAGAAGTCACTTAGAAAGCCAGTATGGTGTAAGTTGTCTTTTCTAGACTGTACTCACTTTCTTTATTCTTGTCCATGCTACTCTGTAATGACGCTTGATCTGGTGGAGTTCTTGGGGGCGCTAATGGCATGCCCACTAGAGGTGTCTGAGAGGAGCTGGACGATGTCCCTGTCTGGCCACTTGCTTCTTGGGCTGGAATCTTTGGACTAGTGGAGGTCAGCTTCTCCATACGGCAGTCTTTACAATAGATACAGTGTATAAGTTTCAGGGCACTTTGGTCTAGGCTGGCAGAGTTACACCAGTGAGGTGATGGGCTGCTGCCAAGACAGTCTGGAGACAAAGCAAACAATTATTAATGGTTTCAGAATAATACTAGTGAGTTGATGGGCCGCTGCTAAGAAAGTCTGGAGACAAAGCAAACATAATAAATAGCAAAACAAAACAGGGAGAGAAAAAATGTGGCCAGCAGCAAGATAAAAAATTTTTTATTTGCACTTTTAAGAAGGCAACATTAATGGATAATAAGAAAGGCCAACATAGAATGACAGAATCAGCCAAAAACTGAATGATTAACACTGCAATAGATTGAAACCGTTAAGTCACATGAGAGTATCTGAACCCTAAGTAGGGTGGTTTCAGATGGTATACAGAATGGAACATTTCATTTATTTTGTATTTCAAAACTAATATCCAGTGTACTCAAAGGACTCTTAGATGACAGGAGTGTTTGAACAGTGCTGGGCACACAATATGCTAAGAATAATAAGAACAAGTCTTTCTTTTGTTTCATTTTTTGTAATCTATTCTGGTTTTTTAAAATTAAACTTAGGTATGAAATTATAAATTAAATTAAATGAATTGGATGTGTATATACTAGTTTTTTTTAAGGGAAGGGCGCATTTTGTCATCAACCTTCCTCGATGACTGACCTTAACTATTTGTCTAATATATTTTCAATTTATTTTAATTCTCCTTTCATTAGTTTCCTCAATGAATCCAACAATCAAGCTATCAGATTAATAAGTGATTGAACAATTCCTTTCAGTACTATTTTTTGTGATCTGTGTAAATTAAGTCAGTCCAAGTATGAGGATAACTCAGTATGACAGGCGGATGAACATAAAACAACCTCTGAGGAAACAAAAATCAGTTTGGTTAAAATTGAAACTTTCAAGATGAAGCCAGAGAAGCATTTGTAGCCTTGTATTTTTGGGGAGAGCCACTTTTCAAAATGTGACACAAAAACAAAGATTAAATTAAACACAAGATAAAGAGGCCTTGTTTTTTGGTGTTTTTTTAAAGGTACCGGTACCCCGCTAATCTAGTCATGACTGTTGGTACCCTGCTAGTCTAGTCATGACTGTTGGTACCCAGATAATCTCGTCATGACTGTTGGTACCCCGCTTATCTAGTCATGACTGTTGGTACCCAGCTAATCTAGTCATGACTGTTGGTACCCAGCTAATCTAGTCATGACTGTTGGTATCCCGCTAATCTAGTCATGACTGTTGGTACCTAGCTAATCTAGTCATGACTGTTGGTACCCAGCTAATCTAGTCATGACTGTTGGTACCCAGCTAATCTAGTCATGACTGTTGCTACCCAGCTAATCTAGTCATGACTGTTGGTACCCATCTCATCTCGTCATGATTCTTGGTACCCAGCTAATCTAGTCATGACTGTTGGTACCCAGCTAATCTAGTCATGACTGTTGGTACCCAGCTAATCTGGTCATGACTGTTGGTACCCCGCTAATCTAGTCATGACTGTTGGTACCCAGCTAATCTAGTCATGACTGTTGGTACCCAGATAATCTAGTCATGACTGTTGGTACCCAGATAATCTCGTCATGACTGTTGGTACCCAGCTTATCTAGTCATGACTGTTGGTACCCAGCTAATCTAGTCATGACTGTTGGTACCCAGCTAATCTAGTCATGACTGTTGGTACCCAGCTAATCTAGTCATGACTGTTGGTACCCAGCTAATCTCGTCATGACAGCTTAACAGCAATAGATGACCAACTTCTAAATAAGTTATAAATCTGAGCTCCCATCAAGAACCAAGAATCAAGAACCAAGAATCAATACTAAGAGATCTGGAGACACCCCTGAAAGCTCTGATCCCTGTTGCCAGTAGCCCCCCCCCCCAACCATACCCCTTAAGGACCTGAGGGTTGTACTTGCAACTGTTACCTCCACCCCCTTTTACTGCAGGGCCTCCCTTCTACCCCCTGACCTGAGATGACACTGAACTGTATTTTTTAAGCAATGATGCATTGAGAATGATGAAGAGAAGAGAATGAAATCGATAAAGGGGAAAAAGTTAAAGCATAAGTGAGGAAAGATGAGGTGCAAGGGTAATGGGTTACAAAGGGAAAAAATGATAATGGGGACAAACAAAATACAAGAGCTTCTCCAAGTATGAAAGGTATTTTTATAGAATGAGAAGAGATAGAAAAGAAGAGAGGCCAAGTGAAGGCAGTAGGTGATAGGGGGAATGTGAAAGAGCAGTGGTTCTCAACCTTTCTAATGCCACGACCCTTTAATACATTTCCTTACGTTGTGACGACTCACAGCCACAAAATTATTTTCATTGATACTTTATAACAGGAGTAGGTGTGTTTTCAGATGGTCTTAGGCGACCCCTGTGAAAGGGTTGTGCGATCCCCAATCTGAAGTCAGAGCCATACTGTATACAGATATATAAGTCTTGACTGTCAGTTGTTCTTAAATCTGAAGTCAGAGCCAGGAATCTACAAACCCGTCCAACTATATCTTACCGCAAAGCCTACAAAATGTTTATATAGCACTCAATCTTTTTTTTGTAGCAAATTAAAAGCTGATGAACTCATTAAAATAACTTAACTACACACTTCTTCTATATCTACTACTAGGTTTAACACTTTACAAAAATTCAGTTTACTTCTGACAATGAGCATCCTATAAAACAAACTATAATTTAACCCTACTCAATGAGCTTACTGTAACATTCTTATTTACAGCTCAGCCATAGTTTTATATTACAATTTATTACCAACAGTCAGCTCTGTTATCTCAGTGGATCATAGGGGGCTAGCCCCAGTTCAACTACAAAACCCCCTCTTAAATTTTCTGTTAGTTTACTGCCAGCAGGAGATATGTATTTGAAGCTCTCTACTGTACATTTGTTCCCCCCCCCCCCCCCTAAAACCCAATTTCCCCTAGTTCCTATAACTAACATTCAGCTGCAACAAACACTGCATCTCTCAGCATAATGAAGGCAGCAGGTGCTCTAAAGTACTGAGTTTGGCAGGCAAGGTAAGGCAGATTCTGCTTCTTTTAGTTCTAAGGCTGACACAAGCTGCAGTACACAGGCACCTACCTGCCTCCTTGGAATTTATCAGAATACAAATAAATATTTTGTGGAAAAGGTCATTTTTTGTCCCTTTCTTTTTCTTTTTTTATAAGAGATGCTTTATTTTTGTTTAAAGTAATGATGTCCCTTTTATAAGTATTGGATTTCTTTGTTGATAGTGTTTAGGAATTACGCTTTTTAAACACAAGGAAATCTCTGTTAAACATCAGGGCACACGTTTACTCTGTCCTACTGTTTTTACCAGTACAGTTCTGGTATTTGGACATCTGTCCTGGCAAAGTCGTGAGTTATAAATAGTACTGATAAAGACTTCAAAATCAAAAATTGAAAAAAATTATTAAAAAAAGATCAAGTAAATCTGATTTCCAGTCCAGGCATAAATAAATGAAACAACTAAAAAAAAATATAATTCATCCAAATTAAGAATAACCACTTATCAGTTTTAAAACCAATTACTGTATGTTGATTTTTGTGAAACGAATATCTATTTTTTTTTCTTTTTAATCTTTAAAGATTTTTTTTCAAATTGCGGACTTTTTAAGAATTATTTTAACCAGTATTTAAACAAAAGATTTAAAACTAATAAACATACAGTATAACGATTATAAATAAGTTAAGTGCTGGTACCAAACTGTATCAAAAAGAGAGGTTCTTTGACTGTTCTAAAAAAAAATTCAACTGCTGCTTTGGACCTTATAAAATTTCTCAATTTGTTATTTTGATGTGGAATAGTAGATAATAGAAAATTTATCGTATAAACCAATAACCAGTTTTTTAAAAAAAATATATATATAAACATCCCTAATCCTTAATAATTTTTTTTCAAAAGAAAGCATCTTCAATAAAAAGAGTTCTCTGTGCAATCACAAATAATTGTTTATTTCTGACACCCATGACGCCAAAACAATTATAAATTTCATGGATTTAAATTGTGAAAAAATTGCCATCTTCACTTCAAGACACATACTTACTCGGTTTAAACACAAGCATGTATGTTATATTTACTCTATAGATTGGTTACCTTAGCCATCTATGACAAGCTTGGCCCCAATCTTTGACAAGCTTGGCCCCAACCTTTGACAAGCTTGGCCCCAATCTATGACAAGCTTGGCCCCAATCTATGACAAACTTGGCCCCAATCTATGACCAGCTTAGACATTTTAGCATCTTATGTTTACCAGACCACTTTATAAGTCATTTATTATTTAATCAATTACTTTAACAGCCCACCAAAAGGACAGATTTGTTCCATTAACGACACATTAACCATAGCAATATTATAATAGTGCTAGTTGGCAAAGAAAAAATGACATAATCCTTCCATGGTTACAGAGGTACTAAAAAGTGCCAAGATGATACCCAAATGTTTGTCTTTTCCAAACCATAGGCCCACAAAATGAAAGCGATTTCATGGAGGCAACTTTCAAATCAAACACCAAATCCAAAAAAGGAAATACAAAAATAGAAATAACTCTCAGTACATGATTTGGGTAATATACACAGTAGTGTGTGGGGTAACAGACATGGTAGTGTAGGGAGGTAACAGACACATAGTGGGAGGTAATACACAGTAGTGTGAGGAGGTAACAGGCACTGTAGTGTGGGAGGAAAAAGACACAGTAGTGTAGGCAGGTAACAGACACAGTAGTGTAGGCAGGTAACAGACACAGTAGTGTAGGCAGGTAACAGACACAGTAGTGTAGGCAGGTAACAGACACAGTAGTGTAGGCAGGTAACAGACACAGTAGTGTAGGCAGGTAACAGACACAGTAGTGTAGGCAGGTAACAGACACAGTAGTGTAGGCAGGTAACAGACACAGTAGTGTAGGCAGGTAACAGACACAGTAGTGTAGGCAGGTAACAGACACAGTAGTGTAGGCAGGTAACAGACACAGTAGTGTAGGCAGGTAACAGACACAGTAGTGTAGGCAGGTAACAGACACAGTAGTGTAGGCAGGTAACAGACACAGACATGTAAGGGTAACAGAAACAGTAGGGTGTGGAGGGAACAGACACAGGAGTGTAGGGGTAACAGAAATAGTAGGGTATGAAGGGAACAGACACAGGAGTGTAAGTGTAAAAGAAACAGTAGTGTAGGGGTAACAGAAACAGTAGTGTAGGGGTAACAGAAGCAGTAGGGTATGGAGGAAACAGACAAAGGAGTGTAGAGAAGAAAAAGTCACAATAGTGTAGGGAGATCACAGACACTGTAGTGTGAGAGGTGACAGACAGTAGTGTGTGGAGGTAAAAGACTACTAGTAGTGTGAGAGGTAACAGAAAATAGTGTGTGGAGGTAACAGACACTGTAGTTTAGGGAGTTAAGAGACACAGTAGTGTGGGAGGTAACAGACACAGTAGCATTTGGAGGTAACAGACAGTAGCCTAGGGAGGTGACAGTGTAGCTTGGGGAGATAACAGACACAGTAGCAAATGGAGGTAACATACAGTAGTAACAGAGGTAACAGACAGAGAGGAGTAGGGAGGTAATGAACAGTAGTTTAGGGGTAACAGAGACACTAGTGTATGGAGGAAACAGACACGGTAGTGTAGGAGGTAACAGACACTGTAGTGTGGGAGGTAACAGACACAATAGTGTTGGATGTAACATGCACAGTAGTGTGGGAGGTAACAGACGCAATATTGTAGGAGGTAAGAGACACTGTAGTGTTGGAGGTAACAGATGCAATATTGTAGGAGGTAAGAGAGACTGTAGTGTTGGAGGTAACAGACACAATAGTGTAGGAGGTAACAGACACAGTAGTGTAGGAGGTAACAGACACAGTAGTGTAGGAGGTAACAGACACAGTAGTGTCAGGCAACAGACACAATAGTGTTGGATGTCACAGCCACAGTAGTGTGGGAGGTAACAGACACAATATTGTAGGAGGTAAGAGACACAGTAGTGTGGGAGGTAACCGACACAGTAGTGTGGGAGGTAACCGACACAGTAGTGTGGGGATTAACAGACAGTTGTGTGGGGTGTGACATAAACGGTTTGTTAGGGAATGTAACATACAAATTTGTCTAGTCTATGAAGGAAATTACACAAAGCTGTGAAGGAAGTTACATACAATCAATGAAGGAAGTAGCACATACAGCTGTGAAGGTACTAAAACACACAGCTCTGAAGGCACTAACACACACAACTATGAAGGCACTAACACAAATAGATGTGAAGGCACTAACACACACAGCTGTGAAGGCATTAACACACACAGCCTTGAAGGCACTAACACACACAGCTGTGAAGGCACTAACACAAATAGATGTGAAGGCATTCACACACACAGCTTTGAAGGCACTATTATACATAGCTGTGAAGGCACTAACACACACAGCTGTGAAGGCACAACACACACACAGCTGTGAAGGCACTAACACACATAGCTGTGAAGGAAGTACCCCACACAATACAGAAGCCGGGTGGGACGAGTGACCCACACGTAGTGCTTTTAGTGACTTTGAATCTAACCGTGGACCATTGCGTTTAACCACGGTGGACCTGACAGTGAGGAAGCACATTGTATAGAGTGAACTTACCAGCCGGGTTTGCCTGGGTCAAACATGATAGACCCTCGCAGAGAATAGGGCGTCTTGGTTTATGGGGCCACCATGGTTTTGTAGAACGCGCCAGTCTGAATGTGTCTAAAAGATCACCTCCACCATTTTAACTGACAGGCGTACCTCCTCATAGGCGAGCAGTTCACTCGGATCAGCTGGGGCTATGGGCTCGGCGGCATCCACATGAACACACTACCGGGAGGGGGTGGTGGGATGGCGATCAGAACAGCGGGCCAGAACTAACTAAAAGTGAAAGCCGGGGACTACAACATATCCATGAATCCACCGAGTCGAGAGACTTCAAATCCAGGAGTGGACGACTACAGTCGACCAATGGAGACATAAACTGTTGCGTCATTACACGAGAACAAGTTCTAAAAGTTCCTCCAGCCCTGCCTGTGACCACTCAGGTAGTGATGTACGTGCCAGCAGAGCCGATGCTACCGCTCACTACGCACAGCTTAACAACATAGGTAACGCGAGGTGGATAGGGATGTGGGGGTCGCCCGCCCCCACCCCCCACCCCGGCTTCACAACACCTGGCACACGAGAATTCTGTTTTATCCTATGCACCCCCCCCCCTTCCCAACACACGCCTTCAACCTGCACCGCTCTTGCCTCATAATGTTTTTTTGGTTTTTTTCTCTGTCTCCTCAAGCCCATTCCATTATCCTGAGTCTGGAGGAATATATCCTACATCTGGTCATTGTAGGATCGACCCAATAGAAGACCGGAGGGTGAGATAACCGACATACACAACAAAAAGGCCAGAGTGTAGGAAATACAAAATTAAATTACCAGAGTGTAGGAAATACAAAACTAAATTACCAGAGTTTAGGTCATTCAAAACTAAATTACCAGAGTGTAGGAAATACAAAACTAAATTACCAGAGTTTAGGTCATTCAAAACTAAATTACCAGAGTGTAGGAAATACAAAACTAAATTACCAGAGTTTAGGTCATTCAAAACTAAATTACCAGAGTGTAGGAAATACAAAACTAAATTACCAGAGTTTAGGTCATTCAAAACTAAATTACCAGAGTGTAGGAAATACAAAACTAAATTACCAGAGTTTAGGTCATTCAAAACTAAATTACCAGAGTGTAGGAAATACAAAACTAAATTACCAGAGTTTAGGTCATTCAAAACTAAATTACCAGAGTGTAGGAAATACAAAACTAAATTACCAGAGTGTAGGTCATTCAAAACTAAATTACCAGAGTGTAGATCATTCAAAACTAAATTACCAGAGTGTAGGAAATACAAAACTAAATTACCAGAGTGTAGGTCATTCAAGACTAAATTACCAGAGTGTAGGTCATTCAAGACTAAATTACCAGAGTGTAGGTCATTCAAGACTAAATTACCAGAGTGTAGGTCATTCAAAACTAAATTACCAGAGTGTAGGTCATTCAGAACTAAATTACCAGAGTGTAGTTCATTCAAAACTAAATTACCAGAGTGTAGGTCATTCAGAACTAAATTACCAGAGTGTAGGTCATTCAAAACTAAATTACCAGAGTGTAGGTCATTCAGAACTAAATTACCAGAGTGTAGTTCATTCAAAACTAAATTACCAGAGTGTAGGAAATACAAAACTAAATTACCAGAGTGTAGGTCATTCAGAACTAAATTACCAGAGTGTAGGAAATACAACACTAAATTACCAGAGTGTAGGTCATTCAGAACTAAATTACCAGAGTGTAGGAAATACAAAACTAAATTACCAGAGTGTAGGAAATACAAAACTAAATTACCAGAGTGTATGTCATTCAAAACTAAATTACCAGAGTATAGGTCATTCAAAACTAAAAGACCAGAATGTAGGACACAAATAAAAGACCTGCGAGTAGGACATAAACAAATAGAATACCAGATAAAAAAAAAGGTAATCAGACTAACGTAACTACAAGACCATATCATAAGATAATCAAGCTAACAGAACTACCAGACCAGATCGTAAGGTATTCAGAATAACATAACGACAGGACCAGTGTACAGTATAATCAGAATACTGGTAACACAATTACAAGCTCAGGGTGTAGGGTAATCAGACTAAAATGACAAGACTTGGGAGTATGGTAATCATACTAAATCCATACGACCTGAGAGTAGGGTATTCAGACTTTTAAAAAATATGGGGAAAAAAGGGGGCGTGGGATTTGATTAAAGTGCACTTAAAAGAACACAATAATTTTTTGAGACACACGAGGATTTTCTTACGCTGAATCATGTCGACATAAATAATAGCGTGGGCGCCAAAACTAAAAGGAAATGATATAGAGACCAGAGATACCAGCTATGGAAGGAAAAGCTACTGAGACCAGAGATACCAGCTTTGGAAGGAAATGCTACTGAGACCAGAGATACCAGCTATGGAAGGAAAAGCTACTGAGACCAGAGATACCAGCTTTGGAAGGAAATGCTACTGAGACCAGAGATACCAGCTTTGGAAGGAAATGCTACTGAGACCAGAGATACCAGCTTTGGAAGGAAATGCTACTGAGACTAGAGATACTCGCTTTGGAAGGAAATGCTACTGAGACCAGAGATTCCAGATTTGGAAGGAAATGCTACTGAGACCAGAGATTCCAGATTTGGAAGGAAATGCTACTGAGACCAGAGATACCAGCTTTGGAAGGAAATGCTACTGAGACCAGAGATACCAGCTTTGGAAGGAAAAGCTACTGCGACCAGAGATACCAGCTATGGAAGGAAAAGCTACTGAGACCAGAGATACCCGGTTTGGAAGGAAATGCTACTGAGACCAGAGATACCAGCTTTGGAAGGAAATGCTACTGAGACCAGAGATTCCAGATTTGGAAAGAAATGCTACTGACACCAGAGATACCCGCTTTGGAAGGAAATGCTACTGACACCAGAGATACCCGCTTTGGAAGGAAATGCTACTGAGACCAGAGATACCAGCTTTGGAAGGAAAGGCTACTGAGACCAGAGTTACCAGCCTCCATCTCGATCCATACAACTGCCCACCAGGTTTATCAAAATTGGGAATTAGGAAGTTTTGCCCCACAACCTTAAAGTTAAATAAAAACACAAAACTGGTGAAAGAGCAGTCTCCATGTTTGTTATACTACCCTTGTAATGTATCTTATCAGCAGTCTCCCTGTTTGCTATACTACCTTAGCATTGTATCTCATCAACAGTCTCCACATTTGTTACACTACCCTTGTAATGTATCCTAACAGCAGTCTCCATGTTTGTTATACTACCCATGTATTGTATCTTATCAACAGTCTCCACATTTGTTATACTACCCATGTAATGTATCTTAACAGCAGTCTCCATGTTTGTTATACTACCCATGTATTGTATCTTATCAACAGTCTCCACATTTGTTATACTACCCATGTAATGTATCTTAACAGCAGTCTCCATGTTTGTTATGCTACCCTTGTATTGTAACTAAAGTTTTAATTTCCTGTAGCATTTCCTACTATGTTAGGCACCCACGCTATTATTGGTGCAGACATGATTCATTGTAAGAAAATCCTGGTGTGTCTCAAAAAAAATATATTACTGTGTACTGTTAAGTGCGTTTACATAAAAAGCAAATTTAAAAAAAAAAAAAAGTTATTTATTTTTATTTTGTACTTTTTAGTCTTTATCGTCATTAATTGAGCATGATTTATTGCCTTGGTTGTACTGTCATCGTGGGTGGGTAACCGAACAACGTTTAAACACAATTGGAGATCAAGAAGTAGGTCAAAATTGAGATGCAAGATTTGACCAGCAGAGGTCACTAAAGGGTCAGCGGAGGTCACTTAAGGGTCAGCGGAGGTCACTTATCATGTAAGGGTTGTACTGCCCCACGGATTGAGTAACTATGCAAAGCTTCAATCAAGCCCATCAGACGAAGGGAACGGGTCGAAAACTGGGCTGCAAGATTTTTACCCAGCCAAATCAAAACAAAAAAGATAAAATTACGCGCTCAATAAAAGCGTATAATAATCGTTTAAAAAAAAAACAACACTCTGAGAGGCATTTAGGCTACAGATATTTAGACCAACAGAACTAGATTAGCATGTCAAATGAACAAAGCAAATCTGTACTAAAAAAAACAAAAGATTAGGTGATTAACATCTTGATTAGCTCACCGGAAGCAACTATTGATCAATGTATCTATAGGTCTGACGTGGTACATTGAAACAAAATACCAACTTCGTGTACATGTCTAAGTCTGAACGAACGGGTCAGCCGGGCATTCATCTTTTCGAAACTCACGCCTTCCCAAAAACCTTCCGCTCTGCGATGGAACCCAAATGTTTAGCTGTTGTGCCCAAAGACTGTTTTTTCCCACAACAAATTAAATATGAGCAGTGTGCATAGAATTGAGGTACGTGCAGTGTGCATAGCATTGAGTTATATGCAGTGTGCATAGAATTTAGTTATGTGCAGTGTGCATAGAATTGAGACATGCTGCTTGTGCATAGAATGGAGATAAGTGCAGTGTGCATAGCATTGAGATATGTGCAGTGGGCATAGTATTGAAATATATGCAGTGTGCATAGAATTGGGATATGTTCAGTGGGCATAGTATTGAAATATATGCAGTGTGTATAGAATTGAGATATGTTCAGTGTGCATAGTATTGAAATATATGCAGTGTGCATAGAATTGAGATATGTTCAGTGTGTATAGAATTGAGATATTTGCAGTGTGCATAGAATTGGGATATGTTCAGTGGGCATAGAATTGAGATATGTGCAGTGGGCATAGTATTGAAATATATGCAGTGTGAATAGAATTCAGATATGTGCAGTGGACATAGAATTGAGATATGTTCAGTGTGCATAGAATTGAGATATGTGCAGTGTGCATAGAATTGAGATATGTGCAGTGTGCATAGAATTGAGACATGTGCAGTGGGCATAGAAATGAGATATGTGCAGTGTGCATAGAATTGAGATATGTGCAGTGGGCATAGAATTGAGATATGTGCAGTGGGTATAGAATTGAGATATGTGCAGTGTGCATAGAATTGAGATATGTGCAGTGTGCATAGAATTGAGATATGTGCGGTG